AGGGGAGGGCGCGTGCTCAGGCGGGTCGGCGTGTATTCTCTGTCTGGAGCCTGCCCCCGACCCCTTTCTCTGAAGACGCTGGCAGAGCCGGCTGTCCTAACAGGATTTGCCAGAGAATAGCGAAAGCCAGTTTAGCGCAGGAGGCTAAGACGGTAATTCGTTCATGTAAGGAACACTTTTCCTACGTCAGTAGGTACAAAGGTGGAAAAGGTGAGGCAAGAGTGGAAGTTCTCCGGCTCAGGGACAGGGTTGCGACAAGGACTGCTTCCCAGGGCCCGGACGGAGACAGACTTGTGACCCTCTCATTGGCTGCCGAGAACCCGCCCACGCGCTGACAGCCAATCAGAGGCGCCGGGGGGCGGGGGTGAGCCCGACGGGCTCTGACGCGAGCGCAGTCCAGCCAGAATGTCGCTGTCCGCCACCCGCCCCTGGGGGTGCGGAGAGGCCAGGCGCGCGCGAGCCAGGTCCGCGGGCCGCTGAGCCGCAGGCCATGGAGGACGAGCAGCCCGACAGCTTGGAGGGCTGGGTGCCGGTCCGCGAGGACCTCTTCTCCGAGCCCGAGCGGCACCAGCTGCGCTTCCTCGTGGCCTGGAACGACGCGGAGGGCAAGTTCGCGGTGACCTGTCACGACCGCACGGCGCAGCGGCGGCGGCGCGAGGGGAGCCGGCCCGAGCCGGCCGCGTCCCCTCCCAGCTGGGCGGGCCTGCTCTCTGCCGCCGGGCTCCGCGGCGCGCACCGGCAGCTGGCGGCGCTGTGGCCGCCGCTGGAGAGCTGCTTCCCGCCGCTGCCGCCGGAGCTGGACGCGCGCGCCGGCGGGGCCTGGGGCCTGGGGCTCGGGCTGTGGGCGCTGGTGTGGCCGGCGCGCGCGGGCCTCGGGGACGCGGCGCTGCAGGAGCTGTGCGGGCGCCTGGAGCGCTACCTGGGCGACGCGGCGAGCGGCTGCGGCGGCGCGGCGGTGCGCGACGCGCTCTTCCCGGCCGACGGCGGCGCGCCCGACTGCGAGAGCCTGCGCGATTTCCGGGAGAGGGCCCTGCGCGCGCGGTGGACCACGGCGGGCGCGCGGCTGCGCCAGGTACGCGCCGGCCCCCTTCCGCCTGGCTGGGCCCGGGCCGCCGCAATGGTGCGGGCGCTATGTGGGTGGGTGGGTGTGCAGTGTTCCCGAGAGCCCGGCTGCCGGCCGGCCAGGTGACGGTGGGCGTGCACAGGTGCCTGTCACCCGTTGGTGAGCTGGGGACAAAGGGGAGGGCGCGTGCTCAGGCGGGTCGGCGTGTATTCTCTGTCTGGAGCCTGCCCCCGACCCCTTTCTCTGAAGACGCTGGCAGAGCCGGCTGTTCTAACAGGATTTGCCAGAGAATAGCGAAAGCAGAACCGGAAACAGCTGTAGTACATGTGGGAAACACCACCACAGACTAGATGTAAACACTTCCCGGTTCTGCGCATGCGGGGACGGGAACAGTGGAGACCACTGCTTTAGAAGATGAAGGGGCCTCTAGGAGAAAGGTTTGGAAAGGTAACGCAGACTCGGTCAGATGGAAAGCCGACGGGGTGGAGCTTTATTTATCGATTTGGAATAGCAACAGGAGTGCAATTTTAAGCTTAAAAGAGGTCATGGGGGACGCCGAACAATTCATTCTTTGAGTGTTAAACTTACAGAATTTAAGGGGAGGGGGAACGCAAGTTCACAGAAGGGTTTGGGAGAAAAAATACGGCGTGTGTATCCACAATTTACTACGGGTGGCCAAGATTTAGTGCTCTAACACCCTGCACATGTCTTCTAGCTTGCTCATTCTCATTGTAGGCCCTTCTTAATCTGGATGATTTTTCTGTGCATTCTTTTGAGGAAGGAGGGGGGGTGTGGGAGAAGAATTCAGCCACATTTCAAAATCTTAATTACATCGCCTTAAGCTGCATATAGAATGAGCTTTTTAAATTAAAATGGCTTTATAAAAGGAGTTTGTTAGGGGTGTCACACCATTGAATGATTACAGCAATAACATTCTACCATGGATATACCATGATTTAATTTAACCATTCTTGTTTTATTGAGCCTTTTGGTTGGAGGACAATAGCATTTTTAAATTTAATTAGTATTTTAAATATTAAAGTTTAGGGCATTAAACTTTCTTTAGTTTTATTTGTTTGGTATGATCTTATAAATCTGTCCTTACTTGAGCTCTACTTACATTCTGTCTTCTAGGTTCTTCAGGGGCACGATAAAGCCCACACCATGGTAGCACTAATGAATGTTTATGGAGAGGAAGATGAAGCATACCAGGAATTAGTTACTGGGGCAACTATGTTCTTCCAGTATCTGCTGAAGCCATTTAGGGATATGAGAGAAGTTGCAACTTTATGTAAGCTTGGTATTTTGGTATGTTTTCTTTATATTTTTTATTTTATCAAATTTACTATTTGTCATATATTATTTCTTTAGTCCAATTTAAGATTTGGTCTGTTTGCACCTTGGGTTCTTCCTTCTGTTTAGATGGTAGGATATATATACTGAATTTATTTTTAAAAACTAATTTTAAAATGAAGGCATTTTACATTGGGCATCTGAATACATTAAGATTTCTGCAGCTTTTCAAGGGTTAAACACGTTCTTTGCTGATGACTTGTTTTTGATGTGATACTTATTTACTTTAGCCTATTTTCAGTCTCTAAGGACATATGCAGATTTCTAAGAAACAGGATGAAAATATAAATAGCAAGGCCCTGGATCATAATTCAGTAATTTAAGCTTTAGTAAATGTTGCCATCGCTCTTATTTCCTTGAGCTATGGAATAACCCAGTGACCCTAGTTAGAATAGGCATTCTCCGTTCAGTGTTACAAAGGAACCTAGAGCCCAGAGAGGTTAAATAGCTTTCCCTGGGTCTCAACCAGCCTGAATCAGAAGACATTAGAGAGATCTCTGCCCCCCTGCACTGGGCCAGCCTTCCACACATGTACTCATGGCCCCTGCCAAGCTATCCTACTGTAGAAATTGTGTCCTGTTTGCCACTTAAATTTCCAGAGAAAGTTGTTCTGCTCGTTATTCTGAAAGTTTATTATTTGGATAGTCTTTTCTTCCTATATATATTTTTTTCTTTAACAGCTTCACTGAGATATAATTCACAGACCATGCCATTCACTTGTTTAAGGTGTACAATTCAGTGGTTTTTAGTATATTCATTTGAGCAACTATCACCACTCTCTAGCTCCAGAACGTTTTCATCACCCCCAAAAGAAACCCCATGCCCATTAGCAGTCACTCCCCATTCCCCCTCCGACCCTAGGCGACTACCAGTCTACTTTCTGCTTCTGGGCATTTCATCTTGTATGGGATCATACAAGATGTGGCCCTTTGTGTCTGGCTCTTTTCATGTCGCATAATGTTTTCAGGGTCCATCCATGCTGTAGCATGTACCACAACTTCCTTGCTTTCTATGGTCTTGTAGTATTCACTATATGGATATCGCACATTTTACTTAACCATTTAGCAGCTGATGGACGTTTGGGTTGTTTCATGGACATTTAGGTTTTCACGTTTTGACTTTTAGGAATAATGCTGCTGTGAACATCTGTGTACAAGTTTCTGTGTGGACATATGTTTTCATTTCTCTTGGATATATACCTAGCAGCGGAATTGCTGGGTCATATGATAACTATATTTAGCCCTTCCAAAGAACTGTCAGACTGTTTTCCAGTGCAAACGTGCCATTTTACGTTCCTACCAGCAGTAAATGAGGGTTCCGGTTTGTCCACATTATTGCCAACACTTGTTATTGTCTTTTTGGTTTTAGCCATCCTAGTGGGTGTGAAGTGGCGTCCTATAGTTTTGATTTACATTTTCCTGATGGCTAACCTGTAGGTATTTCTTATATTAATAGCTTTGTAGAAGAATTGGATGCTAACTGACTACTAGCATATGTTGTAATTATATGTATAGATTTTACTATCTTTTAGGTTATTGTATTATTTTTGCCCTTCAGAGAAGAATTATTGTATTGAAAAAGCTTCCTGCCAAATCCCTAAAAGAAACTGTAGCAACAACTAACACTTGAATGCCGTGACACCTGTGCTAAACGTTTAATGGCACAGGTGTCATTTAAACAATTGCGGGTTTTTTCTAAAATTTTATATATATATATTTTTTAAAGATTTTATTTATTTGAGAGAGAGAGAATGAGAGATAGAGAGCAAGAGGGTCAGAGGGAGAAGCAGACTCCCTGCTGAGCAGGGAGCCCGATGTGGGACTCGATCCCGGGACTCCAGGATCAAGACCTGAGCTGAAGGCAGTCACTTAACCAACTTAGCCACCCAGGCGCCCTAAATTTTTATATTTTTAATGTAATCTCTACACCCAATGTGGGGCTTGAACTCACAACCCCAAGATCAAGAGTCTCACACTCCACCAACTGAGCCAGCCAGGTGCCCCTAAACAATTATGTATTAATAGAGAAACATAACTTGAGAGCATTCCTGTCTAGAAAATGTTATTCTAGTAATGCAAAGTAAAAGTAGATTTTTATTTTTCTTCATGCCCCAGAGTATTCCTTTGTCTTCCAGGTGGTGCCTAGCTTAGAGCCTCATTCATACTCAGTAAGGAATTGCTGAATGAATGAAATTTAATTAACTAAGTAGTAGTAATAAAAGTAGTTGAGGGGCACCTGGGTGGCTCAGTCAGTTAGTCAGCTGCCTTCGGCTCAGGTCATGATCCTGGCATCCCGGGATCAAGTCCCGCATCAGGATCCCTGCTCAGCAGGGAGTCTGCTTCTCTCTCTGACCCTTTCCCCTCTCGTGTTCTCTCCTCTCTCTCTCTCAAATAAATAAATAAAATCTTAAAAATAAAAGTAGTTGAAATAATCCATGTAACCAATTTCCTTTCAATTTCCTGTGGCTCTGCATTACTATTCTCTCTTACTAATACAATTTTCCCTTCTTTTGTAGAAATCCTTGGATGAGGATGATTTGGGTCCTAAGAGGATAGTTGCCTTGCAGAAGGAAGCCAAAGAATGGACCAGACAGGCTGAAGAAGCTATAGTCTCTATTCAGGACATTACAGTGAATTATTTTAAAGAAACAGTAAAAGCATTAGCAGGTAACAAATTAAAATTCTATACTAAGATGTGCGTCATTTTCATTTTATACAACAAACATTTGAGTGCCTCTTGACCACGAGGCACTGTGTTTCCTAGGAGCGTGTGAGGATAAGCATTAACAGACACTGTACAGTCTGGTGAGGGGAGAGAGATCTTATGTATTCCTTCAAACACATGAAAGATGGCAGTAGCAGCCAGCCACATGGAGAAGAGAAGTAGGGGGCTCTGAGAGCCACCGAGAGGCCTGAGGCTCCTTCACTAGGTTAGTGAAGGCCTCTGGGAAGTGGCACCTGCCCGATCTCTGAAGGGTCAGTGGGAGTTGAGAGAGCATCAAAGTGAGGGAAGAGTGTTCCAGGCAGAAGAAACGGCACTCACCAAGTTCTATGGCTGGAGGGAGCTTGGTGAGTGTGAGGAACTTAAGGAAGGCCTGGGGGCTGGAGACAGAAGGGGAAGGGGCACGGGGTGTGAGAGAATGTCACAGACGGGCAGGGGTGAGTGGGGCCGGCGAAGGACTTCTGTCTGATGGAGTAAGTAAGTCATGGTAGATGACGACCCCAAACAGGAAACCTGTCTGTCAGTTAGGTTCCCTTCATAAAGTGAAACATCATGTGGCTATGAAGTGTGATTCTCTGTATCTGTTTTTATAAATGGTGAGAGTTCCACAATACATTAAGTGAAATAAATAAGCTACAAAGAAGAATGATGATCTTGTGGGTTTTTTTTTTTAAGATTTTATTCATCTATTTGAGCGAGAGCACAAGCAGGGAGAGGGGCAGAGGGAGAAGCAGACTCCCCGCTGAGCAGGGAGTACAACGTGGAACTCGATACCCAGGACCCCGGGATCGTGACCCGAGCTGAAGGCAGAAACTCAACCAACTGGGCCACCCAGGTGCCCCTTACGGGGTTTTTTGTTTATCTTTTGTTTTTGGTTCAAACTCTCTGTCTAGCTTGATGTAGAAACAGTCTCAATGTATATGCACCAAAATGTAAGAAACATCGCCTCAAGTAGATGAGATTCATGATTATTTTTTTAAATGAAGTATCTAAAATTTTTTGTAAAGATTTTAAGTATTCTCTACACCCAACGTGGGGCTCGAACTCACAACCCCAAGATCAAGTTTCCCACGCTCCACTGACTGAGCCAGCCAGGTTCCCCAAAGTATCTAAAATTTTTATACTGATGTCCATGTAGTTTTTTTGCGACAATAAAAAATCATTAAAATAAAACAGTTTTTCTTTTAGAAAGGATGTTTTGCAAATAACGTGGAAGGCAGTAAACAGTTAGCTCAGGATAAATTTTTTCCCTTTTCAATGAGTTATAATTATGTTTTATTTTATTAATTACAATCCAACAGGAATGCAGAAACAAATGGAACAGGACAAGAAGAGATTTGGCCAGGCTGCCTGGGCCACAGCAACTCCCAGGTTAGAAAAACTCAAGCTGATGTTAGCCCGAGAGACTCTGCAGCTCATGAGAGCCAGAGAGTTGTGTTTAAATCACAAAAGAGCGGAAATTCAGAGAAAGGTAAGACAAAGATAAATGAAACTTGGATGAAAAAAAACACACACAGGGGCGCCTGGGTGGCTCAGCTGGTTAAGCGACTGCCTTTGGCTCAGGTCATGATCCTGGAGTCCCGGGATCGAGTCCCACATCGGGCTCCCTGCTCAGCGGGGAGTCTGCTTCTCCCTCTGACCCTCTTCCCTCTCGTGCTCTCATTCTCTCTCTCTCTCTCTCAAATAAATAAAAAAAAAAACACACACACACACACTTTTAGGGCACGTTGAGTGTCTGATTCTTGATTTCGGCTCAGGTTGTGATCTCAGTCTTGGGATCAAGCCCCGTGTCAGGCTCCATGCTGGTCGTGGAGCCTGCTTAAGATTCCTTCTCCCTCTGCTTCCTACCCCCCACCTCACGCACATGCATGTGCACACACACACACACACACACACACGAGAGGGGGAGAGAGAGAGAGAAGAAAGGGAGGGAGGGAAAACCCTACATCTGTAGGTAGCACCTTTCTTTCCAAGCACAGTTAACAGACCTTTCTTGCTTTACTCATTCCAACATCTTCTACTAGCTGAGAATTTAGACTGTGGAAGGTTGGCCGTAAAGCTTCCTTTTGGTCAAGATGCTTTTGAAACATTCTCTTGTAAAATGTTCCTGGTAATAACACTGAGCTCAGTACTGAAGTGGGTAATACACTTAATCAAGCAGTGTTTCAGCACAACTCGAGAGTAATACAGAGGTCCTTCATCCTGGGATCACAACCACTTAAATTTCTTCCTGTAATGTTACGAGTTTGAAGCAGGAAACACCGCAAATGCCTCACTGGCATTGATTTTTCTCTAAACCTAAATGTTTTAAGATGTTTCAAGGGTAAGTTAAAGTATATGTAACAAGCATTGAATAAGGCATTTTTGTTTTGTTACTTAAAATGGCAAAATGCTTCTTCTCTGTCTCTTTCCATTTGGTCCTAAGCAGAGAATAGAAAATTGTCCAAATGTATCTAACATTAGCTTTCAGTGTACTACTTACTTTAACTTGCTCTTATTTTTTTCATGAAAACAAGATGGAAGATCTTCCAGAACAAGAAAAAAATATAGATGTTGTAGATGAATTAGAAATACAATATTATGAAGTCCAGTTAGAGCTGTATGAGGTTAAATTCGAGATATTAAAATATGAAGAAATACTGCTTATAACGCAGTTGGACTCAATTAAAAGGCTTATAAAAGGTAAGATTTATATTTAAATGTATACGTTAGAATGTCTAAATCACACCTCCAAGGAAATAAGAGGCCACGTTATTCTTATAAGTTGGCTAAAACATCTACTGAAATTTCCTAAAGTTTCCTTTTAGCATTTTTGTTATTCCAGTGATATATTCATAGTTAAACACACAGCAAAACAAAGAAAGGAAAACGGTTATTCCCAGTTCCATCACCTACAGATATGGAGGGAGAACAGTGTGCTGGGGAGCCTCGTTTGTATACTGATGCACATGAGTAAATAGCAATTTTTAAACCAAAACTGTATATCCTGTCTAGTAACCTCATTTAATACATAATAACCACCTTTCCGTTTAAGTAAGAAAAACATCAGACATTTTAATGGCTTCACAGTATTCGATTATACAGATATACCATGATTTCGAGTCTTTCACTATTACAAACGACAGTGTGGTGAAGAACCTTCCTTTACACATCCTTGCGTGTAGGAGAGATTCTTTTTTTTTTTTTTTTAATTTTATTTATTTATTTGAGAGAGAGCGTGAGAAAGAGCACAAGCAAGGGGAGTAGCAGGCAGAGGGAGAGGGAGAAGCAGACTCCCCGCCGAGCAGGAAGCCTGATCCCAGGACGCTGGGATCATGACCTGAGCTGGAGGCAGACATTTAACTGACTGAGCCACCCAGGCGCCCAAGATTATTTACTTGCAATAAATTTCCAAAGGTGGAATCGTTGGGTCAGGGACAGTGCAGACTTTGCATGTTGACACATACCCGCTAACACTACAATAATCATCCAATGCACATTTTTTCCTCATCTCTGTTATCTTCTGATTTCCAAATTCCGTACCACATAACGGCCTTCTAGATTGAGGTTGTGCAAAAAGTCGTGGCAGATGATGAAAATAGCTGTTTCCCCACACTTATGCCATTCTTTTAAGTTCTTGCCTACTTGATTGAAAACAATGACATCTTGTACTTTTCATGTATTTAATCACAAGCATGGCAGGCACGATTTTGCATGTTTACTGGCCGTCTGTATTTCTTTTATTAACTGTCTATCCGTGGTCTTTGCCCATTTTTCTTTGGAACATTCCCTTTCCATACTAAGGCTATTACTCTATTATCTGTCCTGGGTTGCAAAGAATTTCTCCCCGTCATTTGCTTTTTCTTGCCTTGCAGAAATACTTCATTTTTAGGAAGTCCTATCTGCTTTCTGTGTTTGTTGTTACCCCTGGCAAAGGGCTCCTCATCCCCAAACTTATCAATATTTTACTGATGTTTTCTTTTAGTATGTTTGTGATTAAAAAAAAAAAAAAACACCAAACATTTAGCTCTTTAATCCAGGTTAAATTAATTTTGATGTGAGGTAGGAATCTAACCTACCCCCCAAATTGCTAGGTAGTCCCAGTCACTGATTTTGAAAACATTTTCCCCAAGTGCTTTGACTGGCTTCCTGTCTCATATCCAGAATTATTACATTTATTTTTATCTAATTATGCATTATTCTTTTCTTTTCACTAGTTCGTGAGTGGCTTCTGGTGCTGGTCCCATATGTTCTTATCACTGTCCTTGGATGTACATTTGAGTGTCTGGACAACAAGCACCTCCCTCAGTACTCTGCTTTTCCTGAGGTTTTCTGACTCTTCTCACTCCTGTATTCTTCCAGACGAACTTTAGAATCATTTTGGCAAGTTCCAAACCAAAAAAAAAACACCAAAAAACAAAACAAAAAAACCCCCCAAAAAACCAGAACTCCTTGGAATTTTTATTGGGATTATGCTTAAAATTAGAGATTAATTTGGGGAATCATCTTTGCAATTTTGAATCTTCCCATCCAAGAACATGGTATCCTTTGACTCAAGGCTTTTTTTCCCCCTTCAGGTTCCTCCAAGCATAATGATTTTCTTCATACTGAATCTAAACATTTAATTTAATCCTAGGTATTCAAAAAACTTTACAGTAATTTCAGGTTATAAGTATTTTACATATTAGGGGAAAATCCTATTTAAAAAGTTAATCTGGAAAGATGCATGCAAAATTGTTCATAATGTTTTCCTCCAGGAATGGGATTCCAAAGGTTTGGGAAAGGAAGAAGAAAATTTCACTTTCTATTTTATTCAGTTCTGTAGGGCTGGGATTTGTTACAAGCAGCATGTATTTTTAAAAATATGTATGTAATCAAAATTACTATCTTTAAGGCATCCTAATGCCACACTGTTGGTAGAATGTAGGTTGCCTTTCTGGGGGGGCCACTGAATGCTGATTATCAAGATCCCTGACATTCATCTTCTAAAGAAGTAATAAAAATGTACGCAGAGGGGGCACCTGGGTGGCTCAGTCGTTAAGCGTCTGCCTTTGGCTCAGGTCATCGTCCCAGGGTCCTGGGATTGAGCCCCGCATCGGGCTCCCTGCTTGGTGGGGGTCTGCTTCTCCCTCTACCCCTCCCCCTGCTTGTGTTCCCTCTCTCGCTGTGTTTCTGTCAAATAAATGAAAATCTTAAAAAAAAAAAAATACGCAGATTTTATGTTCAGATGTTCATCACCGTGAAATTGATAATAATGGAACCCTGGAATATTCTAACAATGCAGAATGCTCAAATTAAAGAGTACTGTGTTGCTATTAAAATTCTATTTCCATCACATGGAAAATGTCTTCTTAGTACTGTGTTATTGATGTGTGTGGCTCTGTGTGTGTGTAGCTGCGTGTACGTGTACACACACATTAATAGTGGCTCTCCCTGGGTGGAATGGTTACAAGTCATCTTTACTTTCTTACATTTAAAGTATTTTTATGTGTTATTTTTTTTATACCCAGCCATGTTTTAAAAATGTCATCAATATGTTTCTAGATAAAGAGGAGGAAGTTGTCTACTACGACCCGTGTGAAAGTCCAGAGGAGCTGGGAGCCCTGGATGGCGTGCCGGCGCTGCCGGGGGACAGGGGCGTGCAGGTGAGAGAGCTGAGCCGGCAGTACCAGCGTCTGGAGTCCCAGCGGGGCAGGGTCTGCGCCCGGAGAGCCCGTCTCAGGAACAGGCAGGTAGGCGGGCAGGCGGGCGGGCCGGCCTCTCTCTTTCCTTCCCCATCCAGGACAACTCCTTTGGAAAATAAAGTATTGAAAATACTTGTATTTTTCAATACAAGTATTGAAAGGCAGGCTTTCTACCAATACGGTGATTAATTTCTTGTGTGTTTATATGGCTATCAGTGGCTACAAATATATTTACATTTTTTAAAAAAGGATTCTGTTTCTTTTGGGGTCTAAGCATTTACCATAATCTCTAGATTTTGATTAATCCATTCAGCAACTGTTTTGTCGAATGCCTGCTACATACACACGTATTTTAAAGATCATGGTAGGTAGAAACTTCTAATAATCAGCTATAGTACATTCTAAAATTTATTCTATTGTAAATTATTGATTATAGAATATTAGAAATAACGAGGTGCCTGGCTGGCTCAGTCAGTGGAGCGTGTAACTGTTGATCTTGGGGTTGTGAGTTTGAGGCCCATGTTGGGTGTAGAGAGGGCTTAAAAAATTTTTTTAAATCTAAAAAAAGAATATTCAGCTCATATCAGTCCTTATATTTGGGAGTGATTTTTTCTTAATTTTTAAAAACTCCGTGATTACATAAAAGGTAATATACCAAGAATGATTTAGCACGGTTAAAATACAGTTTGTTTTTTTTAAGATTTTTATTTCTTTTTTGACAGAGAGAGACACAGCAAGAGAGGGGGAACACAAGCAGGGGGAGTGGGAGAGGGAGAAGCAGACTCCCCGCAGAGCAGGGAGCCTGATGTGGGGCTCGATCCCAGGACCCTGGGATCATGACCTGAGCCGAAGGCAGACGCTAAACGACTGAGCCACCCAGGCGCCCTAAAATACAGTTTCTAATATAATTTTCTAGGTATTTGTGGGTTGGATATGGTTGTATAGGTATGTTCGGAAATGTAATTACTGTTGTAATATTATGGGGAGATGTGTTTAAAACACATCACATGGAAACAGATTCCTAGGACACATGCCATTTCAGCCCAGGGGATGCCTGTGTGTCCCCTCATTTCCACTTGGGGGTTTTGCTTTTCCATTTTTCACGGCACTGAATCAGCTGTGGTCCTTACCACTGGGTGCCGTCGATCCCTGTAAATAGCCTGTCAGCACGGGCCCCGTGACTGAGGGGAGGCAGGACCCCGGAGCCACGCCAGAAACTCCTGAGAATGAATGCCTCACATGACAGCACACAGTGCCTCCTTCTGCTGAGCTGCTCTGCTAGAGCCCACGGTAACACTGACAACGTGCAGGTGACTTGTCTTGTTCTCCCAGGATCAGTGCAAAGAGAATCATCGGCTCCGACTGCAGTTGGCTGAAGAAAGTAGGAAACATTTTCATCAGCATCATAGTATCCAGGTGGTAAGTGGTTGAAGAGAACATGTCTTATGTTTGCATCACGTGACACACTAGCTTAAATCTGGACAGTGGAACTCCCCTGCCCTGGATGGGGGCACGCTTGATCCTGGGGAGCCTGCAGTCCAGCCCTGCAGCCTGCGGAGGGGGCACGGAAGTCGGGCTAAGTTGGGGGGCCAGTGTCAGGTCACAGACCCTTTCTTTCTCAAGACTTCTACTTTGAGAAATGTACAAACATATGTTTCTTTAAATATAGAAAAGAGACAAAATGAAAGAAGAGGAGCAAAAGAAGAGAGAATGGATAAACCAGGAACGCAAAAAAACACTCCAGCGGTTGAGAGCATTTAAAGAGGTAAGTTCTAGAAATAGTCACCTCACCTGCATTTTCTGGAGAAATAAATGAAGATCACCCATGCTGGGAGAAGAGTGTCAAGTATTATGAACAGATCATTTGGAACACAAAATGTTCCCCAAACGCCATTATTTTTAGTGTAGAAATAAAAAACAAAAATATTAGAATATTTTTTAAAAGATTTTATTTATTTGAGAGCGAGTGAGCGCACACGCAGAATTGGAGGGAGGGGCAGAGAGAGAGGGTGGAGCGGCCCCCCACTGAGCAGGGAGCCAGTCGTGGGGCTCGATCCCAGGACCCTGAGATCACGACCTGAGCCGAAGGCAGACGTTTAACCGACTGAGCCACCCAGGCGCCCAAAAATCTTAGAATATTAAGTTTTTGACACTGCTGTGCACCAGGGTTCTTGCTCTCCCCTCCTGCCCCAGTGGTGCTGACTCTGCCCGCTGTGGTGCTGCCCAGCCAGAAAAATTGAGAACAGTTAAATTGGCCTCAACTTTAGCTCACTTTTTCCTTCCTTGTAACAAAGAATTCTCTCAAATACAGTTGAGCGCACGGTGACACAGTATGGTTAAGTGCGCTGTGAAAAGTTGAATAGGTTTAAAAAGAAAGTAAATAGATACTTATTTAAAAACAATGTTAAACATTGTTTAATATAAAAGGATGAAACATAAATTGTTTTCATCACACACCTACAACACACACCTTCACAAAGACCCAAGTCTGTAGCTGCCCCCAAAAGGAGAGCTCACCCGCGCCCAGACAAGATTCTCGAATAAGGTACTGAAGGTGTGCTGTGATGCCAACAAGCAAAGGGACCACTGGAGTGATAAATCAGGACACACTGACTTCGGCTTGCTTTCTGATGTGCTTACTACTCTGATCATTAACGAGCACCTACTGTACACCGGCCCGGTGCTAACATGTACATTCATTCTCATTTACTTCTTAACCCTGCGGCCCCGAACGGCTACACTTAGCTTAAGCTTATATGCCTTCTCCTGCCTGGGCAGCACATCAGAATCAGCTGGGGAGCTTCTGAAAGTCACGAATGCCCAGACCCCACCTCTGGAAGTGGGAAGACCGAGTAGGAGGGATGCCATGTAAAAACCAGATGAAAACCAAGCGAATGTGTGTAGGACAACCAGTCGGTCAGCTCTTACTGGAGGGTGCTGGTGAGTGGAGTGCAGTCGGGATGGAGGACGGGTCTGGGGGTGCAAGGCCGGCTCTTTAGCCTCGAACTGGCTGATCAGTGACCACTTTTCACATGTGGAGATGGGAGGCATAGACTGATGGAGGGTGACAGAACCAGGCCACCTACGCTCTCAACAGACTGGAACAGGGAGTGCAAATATCAAACACACTGACCTCACATTGGTCTAAAGTGCAGGTTTTTTTGGTCCTTGGAGGTGTATCCTTCTCCAGAGGGTGGTGGACAGGGGTGCAGAGTGCGTGGGGTCTCAACGCAGGGGAAAGAAGCTTGAGCATTTAGTTTCCTTCAGCCTTCCACCGGTCACTTGTGGTGAAGCTGCAGGAAAGCTTGTGCATTTGTAAGATGCACAAACAGAAGCAGCTCCTGGAGAACAAGGGGGTCCCGTGTTTGCCAAGAAGCGCCACCCTCAAAGGGGACAAAGCCAATTTGAGCACATTTGGAAGGAAGGAAGTAGGAGCAGAAGACCGGAAGTGAATCATGTGATACGTGATACTTGTTGAGCCCAGGCAGGTTGTTTTTAAGTATCTGAGGGGCTGCTAGGAGGTCAAGGGCTGAATTTGTCTTGGGTGAGCCCTGGGGAGACAGACTTCTCAGCAACCTAAGGCAGAACTCAACAGGCCAGAGTCACAGCGACTTGCAGCCGCAGGGATGCCGAGGAAGGGGTCCTGGGGGGTTGGGCATCCCTGCCGTCAGGGTGGTTGGACGACCCCTGGAGTCTGGCCTGGAGTTCTGTCTATGTCACATAGTCACTACTGACTAGTGACTGCATTGGTAAGGTCTGGGTCTTGCTGCCAGCGCTTTCCTGTTTGCTGTGGGAAGACTTAGAAAAACGTGGGTGGGAGACTGTGCAGGGGTCAGACCACCCCAGGAAAGCGAGGCAAGGGAAGTTTTTGGTGTCCAAGTGCATATAAAAGTGATGTTTATACTATACTGTCATCTGTTAAGTGTGCAATAGCACAATGTCTATAAAAAATGTACATAACTTCATTTAAAAATACTTCACTGCTCAAAATGCAATCGTCTGAGCCTTCAGCTAGTTGTAGTCTTTCTGCTGGTGGAGGGTCTTGCCTCCATGTCACTGGCTGTTGGCGGCTCAGGGTGGTGGCCACTGAAGGTGGGCTGGGGCCGTTTCCTAGAATAAGACAATGATGAAGTTGACTGTCTTACATGGGCACAGTTTGGGTGCCCCAAAACAGTTGTTCATTGTTAAAGATTGTATTTATTTGGAGAGAGCACGAGAGCACAAGCTGTGGAGAGGGAGAAGCAGACTCCCCGCTGAGCAGGGTGCCCGATGCAGGACTCGATCCCAGGACCCTAAGATCACGACCTGAGCCTAAGGCAGACGCTTAACCAACTGAGCCACCCAGGCGTCCCTCCCAAAACAAATGTAATAGTAACATCAAAGATCACTGATCACATATCACCATAACAAACATAATGATGAAAACATGTGAAATATTGCAAGAATTGCCAAAATGTGATACAGAGATATGAAGTGAGCAAATGCTGTTGGAAAAATGGCCCCGACAGACTTGTCTGATACAGGGTTGCCACATACCTTCAATTTATAAAAAAAAATGCAGTATTTGCAAAGTAAAATAAAGCAAAGTGCAGTAAGATGAGGTATGCCTGACTCTTTATCATGAATTACACTTTTGGTATATTACTAAGTTTACATTAGTATTATCACATTACATACAGTCTCTGCCAGTTTTTTTCCACCTTAAATTACATTTTTGAAATGTGTTCATGTTTATATGTATAAATCTAGTTCATTCTAATGGCTACATAGTATTTACATTTTATGTGTTTCATTGGCTAGTTAATGTCTTCATTAGGGACCACCCTCCCACCACTCAAGATTCTTTTTTTTGGTAAGGTTATGTTTTTCTTTATCAAAATAATACCCGAGAGACCAGAATGTTTTAAATTTATATTTTTAGGGGCACTTGTGTGGCTCAGTCGGTTAAGCGTCTGCCTTCAGCTCAGGTCATGATCCTGGGGTCCTGGGATCCCTGCGTTGGGCTCTCTGCTCAGCGGGGAACCTGTTTCTCCCTCTGTCGCTCCCCCTGCTGTGCTCTCTAGATCTCTCGAATAAATAAAATTAAAAAAAAATAAATTTACATTTTTAAATTATAAAATCTACTCTAAACCTAAAAATAAGAGACATGTTACACCTGTCACTTTGAGGTCCACTCTGGGGGAATTTTTTATACAGCTGTTGTTTTACAGGGTTATAAATGTAATACTGTATCATCTGTATTTTTTAAGAATGTTTCATCAACTTTGTGTACTGTTTGATTTTTCGTTGCTGCCTAATATTTTAAATAGATTCACCATCATTTTCTCAGCTAACTTCCTATTGTTATTTCGAGTCTTATTTTTGTACTAAAACTATGAATGTTTTCATATATGCATATACTTTCATGTATTTATTTTATTGCAGAGGAAGCATTATATATCAAAGGAATACTTATTCCTTAGAAATTGATTTAGTAGCAAGGGCTGCTGTCCAGAGTGAGAAGGAGCCACGTTGCAAATGAGAACCATCCATGCAGAGATGGGTTGGCGTTTACGTACAGCACGTTTCCGCATTCTGACGGTTTGCACTGTGGCAAGTTTCTCACAGCAGTGTTTCCTTTTCAGAGATGTCCAGGTGGGTCTGTACTAAAGACCCCTTGCTCAGAACCTGCAGCTCCACGCCTGCCACGTGGGCCTTCCCCACAGACCTCTCCGCTGGCCGCCGGAAGCCATCCGTCCTCTGGGGAGGCCCGAAGCGTGCCCCTCTCTGAAGTCAGTAATGCGCAAACCCCTGAGGAGCCACATGGCTCTGGAAATACTGTCCAGAGCTCTGTTGCTGTTGGTGACCAAACACACTGCAGATCCAGCGAGGAGCTGTCACCGCCACCTCCCCCTCCCCCACCCCCTCCCCCACTCCCTCCCCCACTGCCCCTCCCTGCTCTGCCCTTTTCTTTTTCTCCGTCCACAAATCACCAGAACTTACACTTGAGGACTCTAGTAACAGCCGATGAGCCACGTCCCCTGGTGTGCGAATCGTCCGAGCCGTCCGCTGGAAGAGCGCGTTATTCCTCAGCTGGTTTCGGAGTCCCAGGTAACTGCTGGGGTTCTGTGCCCACTCAGTTCTCGAGTGGCTGGCTGGAGCATTCTCGCTGTAGGAGCAATCACCCTCAAATCAAAATCTTTTGCAGAATTCTCTATAGTCTTACAGTTCTCCAGCATAGGCTGCCTTAAGTTATCGCTCTCTCAATTGCAAAGTTAGCACAGCCTGAATCTGAGTCTGCTAACCGCTAACACTAACTCATCTGGAGGAAACGATCTCTGTACACTTAATGGTCCCATGACTTGGGGTCGCTGTTCAAGAATCCCCCGTTTCAGGTTCTTAAGACACGAGTATGCGTTTGATTTCTGCCACTGGAATTTTTCTCAGTATTGCTTAAGCCTACTGTTGCATCTCTGAGTCATTTACAGAATTTAATTGTTGCATCTTAAGCTGAATATTGGTTGGGAATTATTGTCGAGGAACATTAGAATACAGAAGGCTGTTCTTACAGACTGGTGGACTGAGAAACCGTATTTTGGAAGATCTTTCTAAAATGAAGTGGTCAAAAAAACCAGCAGACCCCGTTTTGCCTTTGCAAGTACAATACACTGAATACACATGAATGAATATTCTTTGTTGAACAGGGCTGTCACTCTGACTTGTAGTTCTAATTATGGCTGATACATTGACTCTTGGGGAGACTGGCTTAAATCTCTCTGCCCAGACTCAGAGCCTGCTGCTTTGGGCAGGGGGGCAGGGGTCAGATAAATCCCAGAAGAATTCTGTGTACATTTGTTACAAAGACTGTGTCCGAGCCCCTCCACCTAGGATGGGCAAGGCTGCTGCCGTAGGCAATGTGAGCCATATAAACAGAACCGTTCCAAACTGTGGTTCCAGTGATTCTGAATTCACAGTCTCCCGTACCCAGAAGCAGGTACAAATGAAAATGTCCACACTCTTACATGTAGACCAACCGGCCCATCTGCACGGGGTTTGCAACAACACAGTGTGAATGAAGAGCAAGAGCATGCACGCCTCGGCCTGCAGTTTGGGTGTGGGCAGACCTCTGGGCGGCGCTCATCCCAGCTCAGGGCTAACGCACACGTGGTGTCGGGAGGCCCTACTCAGCACACGCACAGTGCCTCATTTCACTGCAAAGAATCAGAAGATGTGAATTAGCTCCCTGAAAATGCCCCAGAGTGTGACACTTTGTCTTCTTACTCCTGGAAGGGAACTGTTGTGGATTTAAATCTAAAGTGAAACAGTATTTTGTCAGTCCTAGCCTGGCTTCTCATCCCAAACCAGAAACAACGCCTCCTGCAGGCCACCCCCCGCCACCAGATCTCTACATTAGGGGTCACAGCCCCGCCCCGTCTCCAGCAGGTGGTCACGGATTTTACCCCCTCGGGGGTCTCAAGGTGCCTGAGTAAATAGGCTTCTCCTCACCAAGGCCTTGAGACTCTGATCTCATTTGTGTTTTGACAGCATTTCTCACGCTCCCAGGTAGGAGCTGCGCGTTGGCTCAGGTAACTCCCGTGGGTGGAATGAAGGCGGTGCGTGCAGAGAGGTCCCAGCGCCGCCGCCTCCAGGTTCACTGTCATGGATGAGCTTCCTTTCAGCCTCTGTGTGCAAACCTCCTTCTGTCACTGTCACAGAACGAGTCACCACTGACGCACCCAAGAGTGAAGTCAGAGAAACACGGCGGGTACACTGGAGGAAAAGATTTTCTTAGAGTAGGAAGCAAACTGGAGGAGATAGAATTTCCAGAACCTGTGCGCTGCTGTCCCACACACTGGGTCAGATTATCTGTAGCCCAGGGATTCCCCCAGGCTTCAGGATCACACAAAGATAACCTCCATGTCTTGAAAAGCAGCCGTTGTGAGGACAGGTGTGCGTGACCGTGCCTCTGAGCCGCTGCGGCTTCGCGGACGGGGCGGCCAGGGGGAGGCAGGAGTGATGACCCTGTGGCCACAGGGTCAACCGACCTTCCTGGCCGGGAATCAAAGCACCTGTGTAATGGGACGCTGATGTGTTGAAGTTGCGTTACTGACTGGGGTGTGACTGAACGTCCTGGCCTCTTGGGCGGAGACGGTATGGTTTCCTGATCGTCCCTGCTCTGTCTGCTCCATTTCAGGGCCCATGGATGAAGTGCTGGCCTCCCTAAGGGGTGGCACAAGCCCTCTGCGGCAGGTGGACGCGCCCGCTCTGACCCCTCCCCACGCCGCCTTCGACGAGCAGCTTCTGGCTGCCATACGGCGGGGGGTCAAGCTGAAGAAGGTTCACTCTGGCCTCGGCCTGAGCGCCAGCAGCAAGCCGACCAGCGACCTGGAGAGAAGTATCAAGGCGGCACTCCAAAGAATCAAGAGAGTGTCCACCGACTCGGAGGAGGAGGACAGCGAGGAGCAGGGTCCTGGCGACGAGTGGGACCGCTGAGCCCTCTCCACCGCCGCGGGCTCCGGGCGCTTGAACGAGGTGCCGCAGGCCGAGACCTGCGCTTGAAAAGCCTGTGAACGGGGCCGTCAGCCACGGGACAGCCCGAGAGCCGAGCAGGGCTTGGCGTGAGGTTTGCAGCTTTTCTGGAAGGCCGTGGCTCTGGCCATCAGGGCAGGAGGTCGAGGGGTGGTGACTTCCACACGCCAAACTGGAGTTGGGATCTAGGAACCCACTGTATTACTGGCGTAAGAGAATAGCATTGATTTTTCACCAAGGATTATCTCGAATCATCCCCTTATTCCGAAAAGAAGTTGCCAGCACTATCGCTTAAGTGGTGCCGTTCAGCTACCGACCGGGTCTTCCTGTTTGTATGGAGTAGTGGTCCCTCCCGTCGGAGGGCTGGAGCGTGAACACGATTTTAGCAAGAAGCAGAATAAGCTGCTTATAGCCGGAAATAGTTTAACTATTTTAAATAAAATATATTTTATGTATCAAGCGCTATATAAACTCATAATAAAGAACTATTTATAATGCGTCAGCGTCATCATGAGGACAGGAAACGTAATATCCGAACACAGCTGTCCCTGCCTGGCGGGGGGCAGGGGTGGTTTAAAGTTTTTAATGAGATTTCAGATATTTGTTTAAGCAGTTACTAAGGGTGAGGGAATAATGTTTCCCTCAGGAACTGAAGTCTCATGTTGGGATCTTTCCTCCTTGCTTTGTGTTGAATTCAGGAAGGGGAAGGGGTCAGCACAAGGCAGTCTGCTCATTTCTCAGACTGTCCAGAGTATCCCCACTAACCTCAGAAGCTCACCCTTGCCCTGGCCATCCTGGGTCTCCACAGAACGAGATGCACTGACCTTCCTTTGTTTCCAAAGAAAAGTTATTTATCAAAACCCCTCCCACTTCCAGATTCTTCTTAACTAACTCCATCCTCACAGAGTCAGGCCTGAGGGGCCTCAGTTGGGAGGGACTGGGCACCTTCTTCGGCAGCTGCAGCCTCGACCTCCATGTGTGGCCACTGTCAGGTCGCCCACAGGTCTGTCCCGTGTCCTGCCTTCCCCGACCTCAAGAGGGGCCGACCCGAATCCAGCTCCAGTGTGTGAACACGTGCGCTCTGCGCTCGGAGCCCAGGTTCCGCTGCCTCCGCTCCCGCCACACGGCTCCCGCACAGGTCCCCGGGGGCGCTGCACAGGGACACTGGCCGCCAGCCACCTGCTGGCCCTCAGCCCCAAACCCAAGGCAACTCCTGAGGCCTCCTGCCCCAGCACACACAGGCCAAGCTTAGCACGTTTCTCTGGAAAGAACCTGGTATTTAAAAAAATGGCAAAGCCAAAGCTTTGTTGGACTTCCCTACACTTACTCTGCAGTTTGGTATTGTTTTTATTTTAATCATTGTAATTTCAGTATCTTGAGACTTACTCAAGTATGGATAATTCTCAGAATTTGCTTTGTAAGGGCTGCCAAAGACAAGAAGCCCTTGGAAATAGGATCCTTTTCCAGAGAGTTCTCCCAGTTAAACCTCCTCACCAGACTATGCTCTGTGTTCCCCTTCTCTGGAGCCTCCTCCCCCTCATTTCCCCCTTCGCCCCCTTCTTCCAGCCAAGCGATGAATTCAGCCCAGACTCTGGCCTCCGGGAATTCAGAGCCAAGGAGAGGGACGAGCGTTCCCTCCCACTGCCTAACTTCCAACCTCCCAACCTGCTCTCCCTGCGCCCCCGTCACTCTCCACCCGCCTTCCCAGCTCCCCAGGCCCTCAGCGGCCCGCAGGGGGCCGGGGGACTGAGTCCTCGAGTCCTCAGGGACCTCGCTGCTGTCCCCTGGGCAGCCCTGCCCCTCCCGCAGTTTGTACTCGGCACCAAGTTGCCCCAGCTGAAGCCCAAGTGCCTGGGATGCCCCCTGCCTCCACGTCCTGGCAAATGCACACCCATCCTTCAGTGTCAGCCCCATGTGTCTCCCTGTCCCTCCCCTCGGGCCACGGCGCCTTGTCCCCGACACCACTCACGCTGCCTCCCCACCCGCAGCCCTGGCCACAGGCGCAGCCCACCGAGGCCATGTTTTCTACCTGGGATGGGCCCTCTGGCCAAAGCTGGTCCAGGATAGCAGTCCACACGGGCAGCATCCTTGGGGGTGTCCTGCAGGGGAAAAAAGAGGAGCTGAGCCAATCGGGCTTACCTGTTCACGCGTTCATTCGCTCCCTCTCCAGAATCTGAGCAGGGGGATCAAGCACGTGGTAGCTGGTGCTAGGATCAAGAGGTCTTCCGTTCACGACCACCCACATGAAACCACGTAGGCGACTGAACTCACACAGCAGAGCTTCGCGATTCTTAAGTACGTAAACTCACGGGAGGAGTGTATTGGTTTTCTGCTGTGGCCGTAACAAACCGCCACAAACCTGGAGACTTCACACAGATGGTCTTACCGTTGTGTAGGTCCCAAGTCCGTGCAGGCCCCACGGCGCTGACCTCAGGGTGTCAGCGGGGCCGTGTTCCTTTCTGGAGGCTCGAGAGGAGAGGCTGTTTCCCTGCCTCTTCCCGTTTCTAGAGGCCACCTGTGTTCACTGGTGGGGGTCTTTGTTTCTCTCCGAAGCCAGCGGTCACTCAACTCTCGGGCTCTCCTTCCACCATCGTGTCTCCTTCTGACTCCAGCCCGGAAAGTGCTCTGTGTTGAAGAACTCATGTGATTAGACTGCCCCCCCCCAGATAATCCAGGATCATCTCCCCACTTGGAGTTCTGTAACCTGAGTCCCAGCTGCAAGGTTCCTGCTGCCACATAAGGTCATGAATTCCCAGGTTCCAGGGATTGGGACGTGGGCAGCTTTGGGGAGCCACCGTCCTGTCCAGCACAAGGAGCTTGCTAGAATGCACACGGCCAGGCCCAGTCTGCAGGTGCTAATCCGGGAAGTTTTTCTGGGATGGCCTGGAAACCCCAGGTAGCCCCGAAGCATCCGGTCTGCAGAAACCCCCTTCGAAGGCCACCTGCACACCCAGGCAGACCCCAACCTTGGGGCTGTGGTGAGGGAAGCGTGAGGCAGGCATACTTAGGGTCACTGCGGGCTCCTTCCCAGGGCAGGGGCCCTGAAGCCTGACGTCTCACAGGTCTGAGGATCTTCCGAGTGGCCTGGGGTCCCCCAGTTGTGGAGAAGCTGGCTGTGCTCTGGCCCCCATTCTGGGACCCACAGACTCCCCATCAGCTGCCTTCCATTAGCCCCGGAACATACTGTCTCACCTCGCCCCTGGAGGTGCACACCTGTGGAAGCTCTGGGAATCTCACCTTTGTGTTCCCAGGCCGGCAGAGCGGAAGGGTTCCATCCAGGGGAGGTCGAGCAGGAGGAGAACAGCAAGGCCGGGCAGGTGGGGAGGGGCCCTGGGAGGCCTTGTGGGAGTGGGGGGGCGCGGCCAGAACCTGAGGTGTCCGGCCTTGGGAAGAGACCTCCGGGCAGCTTCACATAAGAGGAATCGGAGGGTGGAGGAGCTCCGGGACAATGGAGGCCAGGAGCAGGCAGTGGTGGTCTATCTGCCAAGTGTGGCAGGGGTGAAGAGACTGGACAGCCCGAGGGAGGACCCCGACATCACGAGTCGCTGCACAGGCAGCAAAGATGGGCCAGCGTGGAGGACAGGGCGGCGGCACCGGAGGATGGGAGCTGAACTGCAGGTGGGGGGGGGGGGCATTGAGACCCAAGCTGGGGCACGGGCAGCTGCTGATGGAATCAACCGTGGAGGTCCTGAGACAGTTGGGGGACAGAGTGTCAAGGGAAGGTGGCCCAGGCCGGATCCTTGGAGACTCCAACACTCCAAAGCAGGAGGAGGGATAGTCAGAGGTAAGACAGGACTGGGAAGGAAAACTTCAGAGTCTTGGGAGGATTATTTCAAGAGCCAGGTCAACATGGCCAAATGCCCTGGAGAGGTAAAAGGCAGGACCCGATGTGGTGTGAGGAGGCCCCTCGGGGAGGTGGCTCTCGAAGTGGGCAGGGTCACAGGCTAACCCACAAGGTGGCTGAGGGCCTGCAGCAAACAAGCAGGCATTGGCGGCCACAGAACCACTTCCACTCTGCAGTGAGCTCCTGCGCCAACACCGCTGGCCTATCCAGCAGTCCCTTCAAGTTCGGTCACCCTCCACCTGAAACCTTTGCTGTCAAACAGGACGGCCGCAGAGAGATCTCCGGAGCACAGGAACATCTGAGAAGTTCTCGTACTCCCAAGCACACGAGCAGGACACGGAGGGAGTGGAGTGGGAGACAGAGCAGGGCAGGGGCAGGAACAGAGGACACCTCAGCAGGCACTAGACCTCTCCTCCCAAAACCTTGAAAGATATGTAAGCCCCCCCAGAACCTCTGAAGACTCACACTGCAGAGAACGGGGTCCCAGAATTGACCAAGACCAAATTGCATGGGCCCGGTAGAATGGGAACTCAAAACAGAAATTAACTTGAAGGAGGGATAAAGAGAGAAGGTCTTATTTCTTCCACTCCTGAGCTGTGGGTTGAGAGTCACACCTCCTATATGTGTTTGGGAAGAGTTGGTTCTCTGCCTGACGCACTTTGTCATGTGAATATCTGTTCAAACAGCTCTGGAAAAATCTTTTCTCGTAGAATGAGTCTTTGAGATTACCTTTCCCCACAACAGCCAGGAACACAAGCATATACTCTGCGGCCTTCCGCTTAGAACGTTAGACCTGCAGAAGAAACATGCCTCTTGGGTTGAGAATAGCTCTGGTATTGGCCCCATCGAGGCAAAATGTCACCACCTGAAGGGCAGGTGTTTCCTAAGCATACCCAAGCATGGGGTTGCCCCAAAGCAGGAACTGGAAATGCTGGCACACTCAAAAACTCATTCTGTTCCCCCAAAAGCACGTGGACCTCAACCCACACTGCCATCCTTCCCTCAGCTCAGGAAGCGACCCCAGAGTACATTAACCTACTCTTGGGGAGATCAAGAGCTTCCAAAATACCTTAAGACACAAAGGATTTTTGAAATCCTGAAAGATTTTTGTTGACTTAAAAATAGACACAAGGGGCGCCTGGGTGGCTCAGTCGTTAAGCGTCTGCCTTCGGCTCAGGTCATGATCCCAGGGTCCTGGGATCGAGCCCCGCATCGGGCTCCCTGCTCGGAGGGGGGCCTGCTTCTCCCTCTCCCACTCCCCCTGCTTGTGTTCCCTCTCTCGCTGTGTCTCTCTCTGTCAAATAAATTAAAAAAAAAAATAGACACAAACATTTTACTGAACTATATATTTCTACATAAACAACTGTTACAACAAAATCAGGTAAAATTCACAAAGGTATACAAGTCTTCAAAGGGACACATTTTTGCCTTAAATATAAAAAGATAATTTGCCAAATAACACCATACTAAAACACATAAAGCAAAAACCATTAGAAACACAAGAGAAACGGACAGAAATTCAACAGTAGTGGGAGACTCACACACTTTCCTTAGTCTTTAATGGATCAAATAAGTAAAAATTAATGGTCCATAATATTATAATTAATAAGGTCAAATTAATACAGAGAGACTGAATTTTGTTCCCTTCAGAGAATATATCTTTTTTTTTCCAGTTTCCTGGGAATATTTTTTTTTTCTTTTTAGGCGTTGTAGCAATGCATATCCTGGGAATATTTATTAAAATTGACAAGTTGTTAGGTCCCAAGAAGCTAGCGGTAAGCTCCAAAATGCAGAAAGTGTACAGGCCATACCCTCTTTGACAGCAAAGCAGTTCAGCTCAAAATGTGTAACAAATGTTAAAAACAATAGCAAATATCAAAATATCTGGAAATTTTAAAAAATCATTTCAAATAACTCTCCAGTGAAAATGAAGTTAAATCTGAAATTACAAATTATTTATAACTTAGATCAACCTACTTAAAAATTTGAGGGATATGGATAAAGAAGTATTCAGAAGAGAAGTCACAGCCTTACAATTGCTAGTAACTGCATCCATCATTAAGTATGAGTTAAAATGGCATTCACCTCGAGAAGGTGAAAAAAAATTAAGGAAATAATAAAAACTAACAAAAAAATCATAAAATGGTGAAAGAGTAAATTAGGATTTAAGTTCTTTGAAAAGACTGATAAAATAGACTAATTCTGGGAAAACTAATCAGAATAAAGGGAAAGCACAGGCACACAGCATTATGAATGAGAAAGGAGAAAACTCTACGCTGGCAAATCTGAAAATCTTAACAGAATCTTTATTAATAAACTTAAATGGCTCCAAACTCACAGAATAGAAAGAAAGCTTGAAGAGACCAATGAGCCTAGAAAACATTTTAAAAAGGTGTCAAAGAATTATTTCCTAAAAAGGCACTAGACTTGGACAGTTTTACACAGATTATAGAAACTTGAAGGAGCAAAAAATTCTAAATATTATTTATTATGTTTCCAGGGCATAGAAAAAAAGAGAGCAAGAGCTCCCCAAGTTTTTGTCTTTTTTTTTTTTTAAAGACGTTAACATAAACCCAACACCAGTACCTGACAAAGCAGGACAAAAAATTACACAACGATCCATCTTAACATATGAAAAATTCTAAGATATGAGCAAGCCAAATTCAGAATATTTTTCTTATTTTAAAGCTCTTATTATACAAGTAATACACGAGACTTGTAGAAAAATCAGAAAAAACAGATAAAAACACAAAATAAAAATCTACCATAAACTAACCCACCATAAATAACCACTGTTAACATTGAGTGGAGATCTATATTAGAAGAATACTATACTGTGACTCAACCAGGTTTTTCTAGAAATGCAGAGAGGGCTTAGACATTAGCAAGTCTACGAAAATGATTCATCTTAGGTCATGATAAAAACCATTTGATCATCTTGACAGATGTGAAAAAAAGGAATTTAATAAAATTCTAACATCTATTACTGATAAAGCTTTCAGCAAACTAGAAAGACATCATTTTAACATATAAATTGAAATATTAAGAATATCTTACACTAAGAGTAAAATTTATACTTTTAGAGAAACACTAGAAGTATTCTTGCTAAGTAAAAAATACATATATAAAGAATGTACAAGACTGGCACAATTATATATGTGTTACTTAACATTCTTCCAAAAGTGGCCAATGTGATAAGTAAAATAATATCATTAAAAATATGGAGGTAAAAAAAATATGGAGGTAAAATTATCATTACCACCCAGAACCACTGTCTACCTGAGAGAGGCAAAAGAATTAATAACAAAACCATTAGAAGAAAAGAAAACTCAGTAATTGGCTAGTTACAAAATGAACCAATTGCCATGTTAAATAAATCAGTTACACACACACTGCTCTCTATGCAGAGTTAAGAATGAGGTAGATTGACATATACTGACCCAGGAAGACGCCTGAGATCTATTACCAAATAAAAAATGCAAGTACTGGAGGAGCTGTGGCATATGGTCAGAAGGATAAAAGAGAAAAACATTTTTAGAAAAAAAAATGTGAGGAATACGCACCAACTGTTGACTATCTTAGGGCAGACGGATTTTCATTATGGGGCACTTTCAGTCTCTATGTTTTCCCCTAACGTGTACATTTATTCAACTCTTATATAATACTTTAAATAAAAATCAGTGAGTCTAATTTTCACTTAGAAAAAAAGTAGTGCTTTATATGAACAATAAATAGTTGGAAAATACAATAAACAAGAGAGCTCATTTATAATAGGAAGCACAGCTACTAGAAAAAATATACCGGGGAACCTAATATTTTATAAATTTACTGAAATCAAAGTTGAAATATTATAAAGATGTTACTTCTCTCTGAAGAATTATAGGAGTAAGCTATACATTTTTACATGATCCAATTTCCAATTCTTCTAAACATTACAAAATGATCCCAAATTTCTTTTAGAAATCGTAATATACAAAATGTACTAAAATTTTTTTGAAAACGTTTAATTAATGGAGACGTGTAGTCTAAATATGTGACGGCTAACAGTGTGGAACAGTGTGGCAGAGCGTGCCCCACAGAGAGCTCAGAAGCACACTTAATGATATAGAAGGCTTGGGTATACAGTAAAAATGGAATTTCGTATCTGTAGAGAAAGGACAGATTTCCCAATTTAGAAAAAAATTCCAGATGGATCATAGATTTAACATTTTTTTCATTTTTATTATTTATTGGCCTGTTTATTTTTTAAATTCCAGTATAATTAATACAGTGTGATATTAGTTTCAGGTGTACAATATAGTGATCCAACAATCCTCTATCTCACCCAGTGCTCATCATGATACGTGTGCTCTTAATCCTCTTCGACTCTTTCACCCATCCCCCACCCACCATAGATTTAACTGCTGAAAAACAAAGTGTAAGGATAAAATCCTGGTGACTATTTATACAATATTGGAATTAGAATCCAAAAGATCTTCATAAGCCAGCAAAGGTAGCAGGCATGAAGGAAAAGATAGATTTGGATAAAAAGAAAAAAAGATGTTTAAATGTCTAAACATTTTAAAAAGCGATACATAATTTTTTTTTAAGGTATTTATGGGGAAAGGAAGAACTTCTTAGAAATCAGAGACAGCTACACATCTTATGAGAAAAGTGGTCAGAGGAGATGAATAGGTAAATTACAAAAGAATATTGTCCAATCAATATTTTTGTTAGTGAGGGTCACACTTGGATCAAACAATGCATATCAAAACTAGCCCCCCAGCCCCCACGGTAACACCAGGATTAAGGGCGGAGTAGTACATTCCCACACATTGCTGGTGGGAGTATAATCTGGAATCATCTTTCTGGAAGGCAATTTGAGGCAATATATATTAAAAGTCCTAAAAATATGTGTACCCTTTTGTGTTAGTCAGAATAGGACATGTTACGCTGCAGTGACAAATTAACCCTGAAATCCCAGTGATGTGATGTCTGAGGCTTACTGTTTACCTCACACTCCATGTCTGTGCAGGTGGTGGGGGGGGCGGGTGTCGTGAGGGGAGAAGGGGGTTCTTCTGCCATCCCTCAAGGACCCCAGCTGACAGAAGCCCCCGGGCCGGGACATCACCCCATGCGGAGGCAAGCGTGCAAAAGCCTGGAGAACGGGGTCATGGGCATCTCACAGTCTTGGCCTGGGAGTTTCTCAGGTCTCTTCTGCTCTGGTTTCATTGGCCCGAATGTCACGGGACCCTGCATAACTTCAAATGAGAGGGCTGGAGCGGAGTCTCCCGTGTGCCCAGGAAGCACAGAAGGAGACATCCATGGAGTAGCATGTGCATTACCCACCACACTTCTGACCTAGCAAGTCCAATTTTAGAAGTGACCTTCAGTAAATCTTCTGAAAAGTTTAAAAAGATGTTAGAACAAAGGATTTCATCATATCCTTGACCATGACCATAAAAAATCGGGAACCATCCAAGTATCCACAGGACAACCTATATAGATGTTAAAAATGGTAGAATTCACATCTTGAGTGATATATAATCACGATATAATGTCACAAGGGAAAAAAGTTATAAAACAGTTATGTGTAACATAATTGTATTTCATGAAAAAGTAATGAAATGAATACAGATGCATAGGAAAAAGTCTGAAAAAATATATATTAAAATGTTAACAGTGGTTATAATCAGATGGTCTAATAGCAGGTGATTTTTTTCTTTTCACTCATCTGTAGTTTTTTTTGAAAAATGTGTATGTTATTTAGGAACTAAAAATGCATTTAAAAAGGGAAAAAAAAACACATCCTAGAACTCCTGGGACAGTCCACTTGACCACCTTGCACTAATCATTAAACTCTTACATTTGATATAAGAAATGCCTAATGGGCTATTATATCACAAGACATTGCTACAACAATTTATTTGAAGTCAGGACTTTATATTCAAAGCGGTACAAGAGGGTAAAAACAGTAACACATTCCCCACAGCTGCATATCATCAGACCTGTCAATCATCTGCCAAAATGTCCCACAGTCTGGCCTCCTGCCAGGTGCACCAGGGGTCTGTGTGGCCTGGGGGACCACTTTTCACAAGGCTCTGCATCATCAAAAAGAGTAGGGCACTGTACAATTCCACTCAAAACAAAAGACCCACAAACTCATCTCCTCAGAAACAGATTCCAGAACATATAGCACCACCACCAGGATTATTAAAGACTGCTCTTAGGTATATATATTTTTTATTTAAAACCGTTCCTTATAGTTTCTCCCACTTTTTCCAACACACACACACACACACACAGGTGCACACACGCACACTCCTAAGTTCACTAGAACATTCCATCCAGTTGCCAAATTATTACCAAAGTCTCCTTCTTGCCTGACTGGTGTTTAAAGAGGAAAAGCCCATCTCCTTGAGACAGGTGTATAGAAAAGACATGTAAAGAACACACATTTCTGTACAGGATTCCCTCTCCATGATGCCACCCCCACCACCCCCCAAACATATGTTTCTTTTGGAGAAACCATGTCCTCAGAATTAGGCTCCTTATAAACCATGCATATCATTTAAAAATATATACGGACATTGATTTGCAAGCTTCTAGTTTAAATCGTCAGCGCTTCAAAAATCTAGTGGCATTTCAAGGAAATAAAAGAGTCATAACTTTTAGAAGGACCAATGGCACAAGCAACCCAGTTTCAGTGATGAGCAGAGAGCATGGCTGTCTCCATCTTAAAGGGCAGCCCCTTTTGAACACCTATGCTAAAGCCTCCTCACGGCTGCCTTCCTTCTAAGCATGCACCTGGTGACGTGGGAGGTGCCCCAGTACGGTCCCTGGCATGCCCGGTGGCTGGTTCTCATCCAACATTGCCCCTAACTTCTAGAGAGAAGTAGTCCTTTAGAATGGGCAGATGGCAGTGTTTCCAGGGAGCACCCGAACTATATTCTGTTCTACCCCTGCCTCGATGCTTCATGCCAAATACAGTACATGCCCGTCGGGCACCACCATCCTCAAGGCGGAGCTCGTGGGCTGCCCGAGTCTGGAGAAGTCCACGGGGAGCCTGCAGGCTGGAGACCACCGCCCACCTGGACAGTCCTCCTGGGGTCAAGTCAGGTCCCACTCAACCTGCTCTAACCACAGGGCTGGACTGCTCCTTCCCCAGGGCTGGCTCCGGTCTGGGCAGCGGTCAGACAACCTCCCAGCCGGAACTTGGTTACCACTCTGCCATCTCAGTTTGTTTTTGGACAAACCGCCACTAAAGCAAGCCATCAACGAAGAACTTGCAACGGTTGTGTTTCATGGATCTGGCCTCTCAGAGCACGGACAGCATTTTAACCAACACACTCTCAGAAAGGTCCTTGCAAAGCTGGAGACATTCAAAAATGGAGCCTACTGTCTGTAATGACCGTAATGTAATTCTAGTTCGCTCATTTATAAATCACCACCTGCTGCGGACACATATTAAAATAATATAACTGCAGTATGCTCTCAACAGGATCCCAGAGAACTTTTATCTTGGCACGCAAAGGTCACAAAGGGAGAGCAGTGGCATGGCTCCCAGAATGACCCCGGACCGAAGTCCGGAAGAGCCGGACGGGGAGCCCATGAGGCTGCTGGGTGATGGGCATGTCACTGTCTCTGCTTCCTGTCTGTAAAGTGGGGAATGACTCTGCCCAATGCTCTCGCCCACCTGAGTCTAATGTGACAGCACGCAGGACAGCGTGGGACTCACGGGCCACCCAAGCTCCAGGTCTCTGTGGATGCTGGCTCACTCTCCCTTCAAGGCGTGACCACACTGTCCCAACCTGTCACTTGGGGGTTACATTCCCTGGGCACTAGGGAGAATTCTCCCCTCATCCCTCTCAATTTTGTGATGCACCCAGTTGGGTCTTTACTTAGAAGGAACATTATTTATTATGTTTAAAGATTTATTTACTTGAGAGAGACAGTGAGCGAGACAGAGAGCAAGCACACACAAGCAGGGAGAGGGGAGAAGGAGAAGCAGACTCCGCACTGAGCCGGGAGCCCGATGTGGGGCTCGATTCCAGGACCCTGAGATCATGACCTGAGCCAAAATCAAGAGTCGGCCACCTAACTGACTGAGCCACCCAGGCACCCCAGAAGGAAAATTATTTTTAAGGCCCATTATGATAAAGGGGTTCCACGGTTCACCTCACCTCCTTTGGGCCCCAGTTTCACAGATGCAGGAAAAAAGCTAATCCCTGTTCAGGCGGCCAGCCCCAGACGTGTCAACATCAGGAGACAGGACCTGGCGAGGAAGCGGTCCTGGCTCTAGCCGGTCCAGCAGCATGGCCTGGTCGAGGGTGCCCGAGCGTGAGGCAGACGTGCTGCCCACGCTCGCGTCAATGCGGACAACCGAAGGACATCGGTGCGGCTAGCGGTCCCTGTAAGTGAGGGCACGAAACTGGCCCAGGCGGAAAGTGGGATGAATGCAGTGGGTCATTTTCATTCTGTGGAGCCCACCCTCACGGTGCCAGGGGCTGTCAGATGGGGTAGTCTCTTCACAGACCCTCCAGGTTGCCCCCGGGCCACCTTTTTTTTTTTTTTTTAAACAAAGTCCATGAAGAAGCACTAAGATCTTCAGAGAAAAGCAGAAGGAAGTGCAAGGCCAGTGCTTTCCTACAGCTGTGGTGCTTTCCCCGCTGAACCCATCCTCCCTTAGGGGCGCCCCTCCTGCTCTCGGCTCCTGGGCTGCAACACCCGAGGCCACACTGCGGATCCTACCCCCTGGCAAGGTGCTGGCCAAACCCCCCAGGGACGGGTGAGCAGGGATCACGGGTCCTGACCACAGAGGGACACGGCAGCCCACCAGTCATGGCACTACCTCTGCAATGTTTCCCAGTGCCCCAGCTGCGGAACTCACAAACGGCTGTGGCCACTCTACCTTCCTACGTGTATGCCACCTGAGTGTGCTCCAGTCAGTCAAGAAGGCTCCTTCCAGATCCGTAAGTCACCCAACACACAGGGGTGGCAGGCATCAGAAGACCCAAGTGGAGGTCTTGGAATCCCAGCAGGCACTGCTCCCAGGCAGCCCCAGGCCCCACCTGAGGGACAGGTGGTCTCACCTGGCCTGAGAAGAACCCCCTTGAGCCAGCGCTGGGCCACGGGGCCGAATCGTGGCCAGCCCAGCTCTCTGGTCTCCTGATTGCCCTGAGAGCTATCTGGGGAAAGGGCGGGCCAACAGCACCCTATCTCAAGTCACCAAGAGGGCTGACCATGCTTTCCACTTTGTCTGCCACGAGCCCAGTATGCTCAAGCAGAGCCACCCCCCTCAGCCTGCAGGACCCCCGCGCCCCCCCCCGCCCCTGCCACAAGGTGCCTTGGTGCTCCAGACGACTGATCTTCCCTCCCTCATCCCAGTAAGAGCTCTCTGCTCAGAGACATGGTCCCAATAGCAGGATTCATCCCAGGGCCTGGGTCACATCTGTGTGTGTCCCACCTGCCTCCTCAGGCTGTTTTATTGTTCATCCAAATTCCCCAGGGAGAAATTCTAGAAACTCTTTCTAGAAGGAGATGTTCTCTTGGTGGTTCCCAAAGCAGTCAAGGGGGGTAAGGAGGCACAAAATCCTCCACCACCCCGAAAGGCATTTAGAAATGCCTGGGGCCAGGGATTCAAACCATCTTGCCACATGCAGGGTGCCCAGACCTTCCCTGGCCCCGCTGAGAAACTCAGTAAGAGAGGAGAGCTTTATGGCTCTGGTCCTTTCCTTAGCAGGCACCGAGAGAGGGCAGAGGTGCTAAGGCCACGGCTCAGCCAGTATGAGTGGACTCTCCCTCATGGGCCTGTGTGATTTCTTTCTTAGTTGTCCAGTCCCAACATAGGGTCCTCTCCTAGATCCCCACCCTAGAGAAGAAGGGTGGTCCCAGTTCAAAGGCACTCAGGGGCCGAGCGCCGTGGATGGGCTATGAGCGGCCTCAGACCAGCTCCTGCTGCCTCCAGTCACCCAGTCCTGCCCCGGGGGCCCCCGGAGCCCACCCAGAGCTTGACCACACACAGTCAGTCGAATTCCTGTCCAGCACAGCAAGATGACGGGCCATCCAACAGGGTCCGATGGACTCTGCTGGGGGGTTGATTAAAACACTAAGTGCTGTAAGTTTAATTGAACAAATATTTATTAAGCACCTACTTTGTGCCAGGCACTGTGCCAGGCACCCTCACTGCGCTCTGCCCCCACAGCACAGCAACCTGCTCAGAAATGAAAGCCCAGGAAAGGAACATTGTGGCAACCCTACAAACTGGAGGTGGGAGGAAGCGGGCAGAGCAGATGCAGGCCATCCCCGTGAGCCCACCAGAGACCTGTTCTCTTTCTCTGGACGAGTCTCTACTCAGACCGCTTGAAAGCATCTTGGTTCTGATGGCGAGGGAAGCCGTCCCCCCGCCCCCCCCGGCCCCGGGACCCCCGCACTGGTGCCCGGCGGACGCTCAAATACTCTGACCGCTCTTCCGAAAAAGGAGGTGTAAAGGGTGTTCGTATCTGGATTAAAAACGCTTTGTTCGGTTGGTGTGGTTGCAACAGCCCTTGAGAAAGATACAAACATCCCTGCCCTGACTGCGTAAACGCGTACGGGGGAGCTGGCGCGGGGTTCCTGAGTCAGCGGCGTCCCGGGGTCCGCAGCCTGGCCAGGCGGGGAGGCGAGGGTGGACGGCGCCACCGGTGCGCAAACGCGACAGACCGCACCCGCGCGGAGGGGAGCGACACCCACGGGAGGCCACCCCCGCTCCGTCCCCCCCTGCAGCCCACCCCCCACCCCCCGCGGCCCCTAGTTGTCAGCCGCCAGCTTGGAGAGGCCGCGGCGGAAGTCGTGCAGGTCGTCGATCTTGCCGTCCAGCACCTCTAGGAAGCTCTTCACCTCCACCTTCAGGTGGCGCTGACGGTACTTACTCTCCTCAATGTCCGTCTTGAGGGAACGCACCTTCTCCTCCAGGTTCTGATTGTCTCTCTCTGCCGCCTGAAGCAACACAAGCGGGAGGAGGGCCTGGAGCAGAGCCAAGGGGGCCCGTCTGCCGAGACCCGCAACAGCCCAGCTGTCCCCTCTCCCCCGCCTGCGAAGCCCCCGGCACGCAAGTCTGCGACCGGGGCCATCAGCGCAGAATGTGGGGCGTGCCGGTGCGCCCCGCTCTCCTGCCTGCTCCCAGGCGCAGGTGCTAACAGGCAGAGTGCATGACCCACCTCGGGCCTGATTAAAGGACGGCCCTACACGGAATGCAGAGCTCGGGTCCTGCCTGGGGGAGCCGGAGGCAAGTGGGCCCTTTCACAAAGCACCCGGCAGAGAAAGTCTGCAGGCCCAGCACAAGGGGATCTTCGGCCCTGGTCCCAGAAGGGTCTGCAGAGGCCACATGTGAGTTCCATTCCGGGAGAGAGAAATGGGACAAACGGGGCAGTGACTTATTTCCCTGGTTCCACCGAGAGGCCGAGGCCTCCCTGGCTTCAGTGAGGCAGGACGGGCTCCAGGATCAGGCGGTGTGGTCAGGGAGCCGGTCGAGCTCCTCCTAAGCTCAGGGTGGCTGTGAGTCCGTAAACGAGGGGCAGGCCTGTTCTCCCCACAACCAGTGAGCGCCTGGACTTTCTGGGTATACAGGAACCAGTGACTAATACTGGGGACATACACCTGAAAAGAGCACTCCTGAAGTAGAGGGAAGTGAAAGAGGCTGTGATCAGGAATCTGAGGCCAGTGAAGGGGGCGCTGCCCAAGGTCGTATTCAAGGTCACTGGCTGGGGAGTGGCAAGGTGGCCTCACTCGGGGTCTTACGCTCTCCGCCCTCCCTTCGGCCAGCTTCTCACCGCCCTAAGGCTCTGTGGAGACTTCTGTGGGCAGGACACAGCCCCTGCACTATGGCTACACACAGGACACCTTGGCAAAGGCGGAGAGAGCAGAAACACTGCTGTGTCTGCAGCCGGGGGGCAGAGACGGCAACTGGCATGCAGGTCCTGCTGGCTTCTCATGACGAGAACCTCACTCTGCTTTACCAGGGGAGCTGGGAGGGGGGGCCGCCCCAGAGAAACGCGTCGCACCCGAATTCCTTCCGATCGGAGCCAAGAGGGATGCGCCCCCCACCACCCTTACCTCTAACTTCTCAGAGACGTATTCACACTCTGACACGAGCTGAGGTATGATTTCACTTTGTTGGCGGAGGTCTTTCAACTCCTAAGGGGACGGAAGTTTGAAAAAGGATGGAAAAGTCAGATAAAATGCCTTCTTGAAAGCCCACGATCTGTGTGCACATTAGCGGAAGCAGCTCTTGACGTCCTCGACAGTAACAAAGGCAGTGGAGTTAATACTCAGCACATGGGCAATCCTGTTACGTGCATTATTGTAGCCTGACGTCTGCGCGCCGCCAAAAGAGACGGATTCTTAGCATCCCCATCTTCTGGATAGGGAAACGGAGGCTGGGACTTTGGCGCCTCGCCCACAGTCTCCAGCATCTGCACACTTAGTGGTCCTGCCGCGCCCCCCCGAAAACAAACGCCCGCACGGTGGGGGCTCTCGCTGCGTTAGCCGGACAGCACAACTCTACTTGTGACGGCAGCTCACATATAAACGTTTCCGACTGTTTCGTCAACTCCCGGCTCCCGCTCGGGCCCCAGCCTCTGGGCAGCTCTTGGCTGGCCCCCGTGCTGACACCTAGGCAGCTGCCCCCCGGGGCTGGTCATGTTCCCCCCACCCCCCGCCGACACCTGCCGTGTCCTGGGCGCACAGCGCCCACAGGCGCCTCCACTCACTGTCTCTTTCTCCTGTAGTTCTGACTCCAGCTCCTCGATTCTCCTCTTGAGCTGCGTGTTCCTCTCCTTCTCTCTGGTTATCTCGCTGCACTGCTCCTCCAGCTCGTCAATCTGTTAACAAACACCACAGGCTGGAGCAGGGAGGCTCGTTTACTAGGGTCACGGAGCAAAGATCACCGCGGCCACTGAGGCTCTCTTTTACAATGAACCGTCCACTGCGAACAGACCCCGTGTGGCTCCCCCGCGGGGCTGTCCACCCTGCCTAATGCCGGCACCGCCGCGGCAGCCACGAACACTGGCCACGGGACATGCCGGGCCTCCGGTTTGCTCTCACCGCCCCGGGACAGGAATGGCAGGTTTGCTTTAAAGGATTCGTCCCGAGTAGGGGCCAGATGTCCCACAAATCTATCTGCTTCTCCCCATAATGATTTTTCACACCATTTGATCGTGTCCTGAATTATTCTATTTCATCTCAAAGGTTTCAGACAGCAAGGAAGAGAATCAATTAACGCTGTGGGACAGTGGCCCCCAAATGAGAGGCAATGACATTTCAAACATCTTAAACCAGGGTGACCTTTCCTTACTGACGCACGCCGGAAGGGCCTGGCCTGTGAGCGAGCCTCCTCTGGCAGAGCTGAAAGGTGCAGACTGGCCTGGCAAGTCTCCAGAGTGCACTCTTCTCCCCTTCCCAGGCCTGACCCCTCAGACGGGGTTCAAAGGCCTCACAGCCTTGGCCTGGCCGTCCGACGCCGAGTGCTTCCCAGCGGCCAGAGTGTGTGTGCAGAGAGCGTGATGGAAGGGGGCCAACGGTAACACAAAGCATCACACTGATGGGGTCCCACAAGCAGGTGGCAGCCGTTGAGGGGAAGGGCGCCGGGCGGCCAGGATGACGACACTTTCGGAGGCGGCTGCACGCCAGCCCCCGGGTTCTGAACCCCCAGCCCCAGGAGCCACCGGGGACTCCACTAACTTCTACCTTGTGCCCTAGAAATCAAGTTCCCAGTGCTTCCCGTTGAGGAAGCAAACTCTAAGGGGTGTCCTTCCTCTCCTCCCCCCGTTACACTCGCGCGAAGGGCGAGAGTCAGCTCTCTGCTTGGGAAGAGAAGGATGGGGCAATCGGTCCCGCCGGCCGACGGACCGGCCAGGCCCTGGGAGGAAACGCACACAGTCAGCACTTGGCCTGGTGCCCTCACGGGCAGCACTTGAGGCACTGAAATGAAAAAATGACACGAGGCAGTTTTATGTGTCATCTGTAGCAAAGTGAGATGGGCGAGCAGGGGAGTGACCTCCGGTGGCTCCATTCAGGCCGGTGGGCAGGTTACCAATGGGGGGCCGGGGGCGTGAAGACCCGTCTCAGGGTGATGTGTCCCCCTGAAATCCCACACTTACACGGCAGCCACTGTCCACGGCCTGCCTGATAAACGTGCTGAGCATCAAAACATGGCCACACAGAGACCCCTGGGGTCTCAACTGGGGATTTTCTGGCCTCCGCACAACTACCTCATCGACTCAGCCCCACCACGAAGAGCGTGAGCGACTAATCACAGGGAAGGCTGCAGACGACATGCTCGGGTCACTCAGCTCACACTTCAGGCGCCGTATTCCTTTGCCCACTTCCCAATTCATATTCTTAGACACAGTGATGTGCATGGAAGTAGGGTTGCTGAGTGAACGCTCCTCGCAGTTTCCCAAATCTATTTTCCTCGTTCACCCTCTGGACGGTGAACACGGTGCGTTGATCTTCGGTAGAGAAATGTGCCAAGGGAAGGCCGCCCCCCAACTAGCATCAGAGGGACAAGGCTGGAGTCTCCCGTGGGTTCGTCGTCTTTGCAACAGCAGCTGTGAAACCTGTGTTTCCTCACTCGTGTTCCTCCTCAGGAAAGTGGGGAGGTGAGGGGGGTCTCCAAGGGGAGCGACAGCGAGTCTTCTTCCCGCCACGGGGAGGGAGGCGAGTGAGGGCGGCGGGAAGAGAGAAGCAGAACGGGGACCCCCATCCCCGGGGCACCCCCGGCACCCACCTTGTTCCGGAGCCGGTCGTTCTCATCGCGGCAGATGGAGAACTGCCTCTTCCACTGCTCCACGCTGGCGGCCGACTCCTGCAGCGCCGTGGTCAGCCGGGCGTTGCTCTCCCGCAGGGTCTGCAGTTCCATCTCCCATTTCTTCACATTGGCGGCACTGCGGGCGGGCCCAGGCGGTGACCCGGACGCCGGGTGCCATCCACCCCGCTCTACCCCACCTGCCACCCCCCGCCTGCCTCTGACGCCACACCCTGGCCCCCCCGCGGGCCGGCCAGGAGGATCAGGTGCCAAGAAGGGCTGGCACCTCTCTAGTGCCAACAGGTCACCTTGCCGGGCTATCGCTTTAGGAAAGAACAAAACTCTTGGAGAAGGAGGAGCCAAAGCTAAGAAGGAAGCCACGGAGTGTGGGGAGCACCCCCTCACTCCACTCCCTACTGAGCCCCTGCCCCAGAACCCTCTGTCCCATCCCCTCCTGAAGCGAGCCCCAAAGCCACAGGCTCTGAAGCGGGTCTCCGAGAGTCTCACGAGTCCCCGACACCCCAGGACCCTGGTGTGACAGGCAGACAGGCTCCAGATGATAACCTGTACCCCCTCCAAGCCTGCAGGGGAATCCAGAGCCGATGACCAGAGGGCAGAGGGGACAGTGATAGCGTGTGTCCCCCTCAGGGGTGGGGGAGGACCACAGGTCTGCAGGACGCCTCCAGGGGACCAAAACAACCTCGTGTTTGTCTTTCATCCGACATGCTCCACAAGGAAGTAGTTTCAAGAAACAAACTGGAATCAGGCTCCCCTCAGGGGCTGTTGGCTTTCATGTTCCTTCTGTCTCCTGGCTTTGCAGCCCACACGAGGGCGAGGCCAGAGCTGCACAGGATGCACAGGACCCACGGGACATGCGGGGTGTGCCCCGCTCAAAGTGTTCGGCTTCTAATCAATCCTGCTGGCTGAAGTCACTTCTGTCTCGAAAGGCCTTTTGGGGGGCCGGGTGGGGGGTAAGAAAATAGGACTGCATCTCAATAATCTGGTTATCTTCCATCCCACAGCCTCAAGGATGTAGGAACGTGACTAGAAATTCAAGCTTTCAGTTTCAAGCACCACAGGCAAAAAAAAAAAAAAAAAAAAAGTAAAATGGAATCTGATTAATTTCAGAGTTGATGATTGAGAATTTAAGCTGATTTGGGGAAACGGCTTCACACCCATTCCTATAATGCACTTGTTCATTAAGTTGGGATTTAAAAACCTGTATTTTTAGGGGTGAAACGTTTTCATCCAAGAAGCATCTTGTGTCTTAAACAACAAAAGAGTGAAAAGCAGGCAGGATGGTGGAGGAATTGACTAGCCATGTGACCTTAGGCAAGGACTCACTTTACCACTGGGACTCAGTTTCCTCATCTGTAAAATGGAGTTAGTATGACCCAGCTTTTCAATGAGACAAGTCTGGGGAGAGCAGCTTCCCAGCCACAGAAGGGCTGGGAGAAGCTGGCCAAGCCCCTGCCCGGGGCAGGGACAGGATGATTCCCAAGGACCACAGCTCTGAGCGAGCTCAGCGTGCTCACGGGGCCAGCCCAGTCGTCGGGAAACGGGCCACACTCTCAAGGGAGGAAAACTGTAAGCGCAGCCTGTGTAGTCATTAAAAATTAAAATCATGTTATGTATCATATGATCTCACTGATATGAGGAATTCTTAATCTCAGGAAACAAACTGAGGGTTGCTGGAGTGGTGGGGGATGGGAAGGATGGGGTGGCTGGGTGATAGACACTGGGGAGGGTATGTGCTATGGTGAGCGCTGTGAATTGTGCAGGACTGCTGAATCACAGATCTGTACCTCTGAAACAAATAATACATTATATGTTTTAAAAAAAAGATAGTAGGAAGGGAAAAATGAAGGGGGGGAAATTGGAGGGGGAGATGAACCATGAGAGATGATGGACTCTGAGGGGGGTGGGGGGATGGGTTAGCCTGGTGATGGGTATTAAAGAGGGCACGTTCTGCGTGGAGCACTGGGTGTTAGACGCAAACAATGAATCATGGAATACCACATCAAAAACTAATGATGTAATGTATGGTGATTAACATAATAAAATAAAATAAAACAAAAAAACAAAATTAAAATCATGTTGATATTATTATGGGGACTGTTAAATTTATATTATCAATTTAGGGGGAATGGATTCTTTTTAAAATATGAAGGCATTTCTACCACCTCCCAATAGAATATATCTTTCTATTTGTTTACTTATTCATTTATGGTCCTCAAAATCATTTTACAACTTTCTTCACAGAGATACTGTGCCCTTAAGTTTTCTGTATTTTATGTATCTAGTTCACGTAATTGATGGTTCTAGTTCGTATCGTAAAGGAAATCTCTTCTTCAAATACATATTCTATGTGATGTTTGTACATAGAAAAGCTATTGATTTTTGTGTAAGGTGTATTATTTTTAACAGGTTTTTATAGGTTTTTCTTGGATGTTCGAGATTCAGTCTTATGCTATACAAATAAATGATACATTTGGCTCCTCAAAAAGCCAAAACAAAACACAAGCACAGGGACACATCTCTCTCACACATATACACACATACACACACACATCTTCCACATGCTGTGTACTCTCGCACACACGCAGGCCGACACAGAACAGCCATGTTGTTGTTGGTCGGCCAGGTCTGGTCTGGTTGGCCAGACAGAGAACAGCCATGAAGCCAGCTGGCGTTCCTCTGGCCCACAGACAAGACCAGACACTCTGAGCAGGACCCAGTCTCCTCGTGAAACCCCGCCTGGCGGGAAAGGCCGCGGGGAGGCACTGACCTTGGAGAAAATGCCATCTGGATTTTAAATACCCGTACCTCTGTGTCAAGGCGATCTTCAGCTTGTCATTCTCAGACTTGAGGTGTGCGTCAGCAGGACCCACATGAGAGGCCTTTTCATCGTCTGTCCCGTTGACACTGGACACCTGAGGAGAAGACGGGGTTTCACACCCAGATTCCTGGCCAAAGTGAGTTACCTTCACACACTATTGCTCACAGCAGCGGCAAATCAGGCGTAATGAGAAAGTGTGTTTGTGAGCCAAGGAGAACAAACTCATCAGACCAGAACGCGGCAGACTAGCACGAAAGGCTGTTAATCACTAAATTCTACCTCTGAAACTTAAGAAAAAAAAAAAGAACCATGGAAAAGGCCCAGAGGAGTCCAGGGGAATCTGAGAAAGTCTGTGAACTTTATTGACAAGAGCTCACCTGGGGCCCTGGGGCCATCTTGTTACTCAGCTTTACAGATACACTTGACAAGCTTGCATACCTGGTCTCCCTTATTTAACAGAGAAGCCACGGATGAGAGGGGGAGCGAGGGTTTACAACAGGGAACAAGAAACAGTGAATGAGGAAGAGAGAAAAAGTATTAGAAGCAAGGAAAACTTACAGGCCCTGGGGCCAGAGAGCAAGACGCACAAAACAACCAGGGATCAGATATGGATGTGCGCATGGCCTCCAACGGTTCGTTAGATTATGAATATTCTGAAACATTTTCTGTAGTAAGTCATACCACAGGGAGGTGAAATCTCATCTGCTCTTGGATAAGATCTTAGATCTTATTTAGCCTCCACTGAGCATAAAGGCAAAGGAAGGAACCATGAAGGGAATGATGCATACATTTGACTAACGCTAAATTTCTGCACTGTAAAAAAAAAAAAGTCATAAACAAAATAAAAAATGCACAAAAACCTGGGGAAAATATCTGCTGCTGAGCATTTGCATATATGAAAAACAAGATGTTAATACCTTTCCTATATTGAAAAACTCTTAGAGGCCTTATCTTTTAGAGCCACACGCTGACATATTTATGGATGAAATAAGATGTTTGAGATTTGCTTAAAATTTAGCGGGAGGGGGAAGGGGGCACGATGAAACAATTGATCATAAATTCCTAATTGTTAAAGCTGACCTGGGTGTCCCATGGAGGTTCATTATACAACTCTGCTTAGCTTTGAATATGTTAAAAAATATCCGTGTTAAAAAATAAAATTCTTAGAAATCAACACAAAAAGCGGGCGCCTAGGTGGCTCAGTCGGTTAAGTGTCTGCCTTCAGCTCAGGTCATGATCCCAGGGTCCTGGGACTGAGCCCCGTGTCAGGCTCCCTGCTCAGCAGGGAGCCTGCTTCTCCCTCTCTCTCTGCCCCTCCCCCCAATCCTATCCCCGCTCGCTCATGTTCACGCTCTCTCTTTCAAATAAATAAAATCTTAAAAAAAAAGAAATCAACACAAAAAGATGAACACTTTAATCTTTTAAAAAAGGAAAAAAATACACAACTGACATTTACAGAAGAAGAAATGGATAGAATCAATAGACACAAAAAATACTTAATCCACTGGTAAAGAAATGCAAAATGAAAAAAGCCAACAGAATACATTTTTCTTCTGTCAAGTCAACAAAGCTTTGTTGGTGAGAGTGTGGGAGGAAAAAAATCGCTCTCAGTCACTGCTGGTGGGAGTCAGAATCATACATTTCTGTAGGTTAAGCTGGCAGTATTTATCAAAAGCTTTTAAAATGTCCCTTTTAATCCAATACTTGCACTTCAAGAACTTATCCTGCAGAAATTACCAAATGCACAGAGATGTACAAGGACGTTGATCACAGTGTCATTTATATTAATGAAAATTAGAAACCACATCGATATCTCAAAGTGTTAGGTTAATGGAATAAGTTGCAATACAGACCAATACTAGCCATTAAGACAGTTTTGAAAAGGGATATTTGAAAACACAGGGGAATGATCATGAAATATAAAGTAAAAAGGTTAGGGGCGCCTGGGTGGCTCAGTTGTTAAGCATCTGCCTTCGGCTCAGGTCATGATCCCAGGGTCCTGGGATCGAGCCCCGCATCGGGCTTCCTGCTCGGCTGGAGGCCTGCTTCTCCCTCTCCCACTTCCCCTGCTTGTGTTCCCTCTCTCGCTGTGTCTCTCTCTGTCAAATAAATACATAAAATCTTTAGAAAAAAAAATAAAGTAAAAAGGTTAAAAAGAATGATATAAAAATATACTAGAAAAGTGTATCAGGAAGATAAACACCGAAACATTAACAATATCTTTGTGTGGTGAGAAAGCAGGTCGTTCTTATTCTCTTCCTTAGAATATAGCATAGTTTTGATTTCTGCAGTAAATACCTATTGCTTTTACATTTACATTACATTACATACATAAGACCCATATAAAATGTTTAAGATCTTCCAATATTTGGAAAACTTGGCCAAAGTGTTCATTCCCTAAGAGATTCAGGAAAGCAAGCAATTGTATGATTTCTAATAAAAAGGCAAAGAAAAATGTACAATGATCTCTACCTCTGGGGAAAACATCAGGAAGATAAATAAAAACTAAAGCTTGGAGACAAAAAATTGATATGTTATTAATACACATATATAAAATAGCACCTTATGGGTATAGTTGATTTTTTTAAGGCTTAAAATACTTTTGGGGGGGGTGCCTGGGTGGCTCAATTAAGCATCCAACTCTTGGTTTCAGCTCAGCTCATGATCTCAGGGTCATGAGACAGAGCCCCACGTCGGGCTCCATGCTCAGCAGGGAACCTGCTTGAGATTCTCCCTCTCCCTCTGCTCCTCCCTCCATGCCCATGCTCTTTCTCTCAAATAAATCTTTAAAAAATAAAATAAAATACCTTTTTTTGGAAAAACAAACATTAAAACAGAAACCTTAAAGAACTTCTGATTACTGAAGTTTAAAGATATTGCTATAATATGTAGTATTCAGAAAAAGATTGTTTATTAGAAACTCTAGATTACGGTCCATTTCTGGGTCCAACTTTAAAGGTCCTCAGTGATTACTCAGTATGGTAATTAGTATATGAAATTAACAGTATCACTCAGATTATATTAAAGATTCTTTGAAAAGATTCAGGAAAGTTCCTGTGCACCTGAAGCCTAATACACATTCCATAAATTCACACAGGGCATCTTTTATATGCTGAGCCAGGACAGGCGCTGGGAAACCCTGGGTCCTCAGGTCCAGCCCCAGCAGCGGACAAACCCAGAGCCCTCTGCTCTGCAGCAAGGACAGGCTGGGTGTGCTCCTGCCTCGGGTTCAGTGATGGGGAGAGCTCTCCTTCTTGGCAGTCTTCACTTGCTCTCTTCCCACAGCTGGGTGCATTTCTCCAGGCTCTAGCTTTACCCTCTTCTCCCCACTGCTTCTTCTTCTTTTTTTTTTTTTTTTAAGATTTTATTTATTTATTTGCCAAAGAGAGAGAGAGCACAAGCCCGGGGAGCAGCAGGGAGAGGGAGAAGCAGACTCCCCGCTGAGCAGAAAGCCTGATGTGGGACTCGATCCCAGGACCCTGGGATCATGACCTGAGCCGAAGGCAGACGCTTCACCGACTGAGCCACCCAGGCGCCCCCCCACACACACACTGCTTCTCGGTACACCCAAGACTTCAGCTATTATTTTTTCAAAGCAGATGGTCAAGTCGAAAATGTCAATCTTGACAGCTCAAGATGCCCAGTCTCCTGGTTCTCTTCCCACTGGCTGTCCCTAACATCCGTCCCTTCCTCTTTACCCCCTGTGGCTGCGTCCTTGCCAGTCTACCTGCCGTCTGGTGGTTCCCTGACTTCCTCACCACCTCGTGTCAATTCCAGAGAAGAAGTCATGCAACACCTCCAAGGTCTGCCCAAACTCCCCAATAACAATTAAATCAATAATAATTAATAAACTAGTAATGAAGAATTCCAGGTCTTCTGCAGAATCTCCAAGTGTATCTCTCATTCCTCCCACAGCGCACCTTGCTCTCGGCCAGGAGTCTGCTGCACCATGCTTATTCCTAACCCTGAACCTTCCCCCCACCCCCCGATGTCTCCTTTTCCCTGTCTCTATGCATAGAACCTTACCACTCGGTCAAGCCTTCTGCCCACCACTACATACACCAAACCAGACATCAAGAATGTAGGTATTTTTACTTTGGGTTAAAATAGATTCCTTTCAGTCAATCATCACACTTTTAAGTAGACAGAATGAATACTCATTTCTGGCAAAGGGGTATCTCCTTTGCTAATCCAGAGCTGTTAGAATACCATCTCCCATCTGACTTTGTTAAAACATGGAGATAGAGACAGGGGTTCTCTAGCATCAGCCAAGTTTTCTGTCTCGAGAGCACAAGGTACCCGTATTCGTCAACGCACATCCTTCGCGTAGGCTCACACACTGCCTTGTCTCTGGTATTGAAACATAGTGACAAAGAATGCCTCTTCGCAGCCAGGGGCATGCAGCAATTCTAATCTCATCAACTGCTTTCTGTCAAAAATACATCAGCACATATGGAAAATTCAAGAGTCTCATACAAACATGTCATATCACCTCAGTGGGAGCAGGCTAACAGTCAAAAAAAGCCTTCAAAATGCCCTCCTGCTAGAAGTCCCTATTTCTCGTCAAAAGTGACAAGGAACAAAGAGTCCCAATTACTGATCACACTCAGATTTATTTTGTACACCCATTACTTACCTGGGAATGATTGCTCGAGGTCTCAATTTTCTCCTGGGACTTGTCTCTGGCTAGTTTGGCAGCTTCTTTCACCTCCTGAAATTTCTCTGCAAACTGAACATGAACAAGAGTTACTGAGGTTGTTCTCAACCTCACACATGGCTGGTCTTCAGAACCCACCTTTGTTGCTTTGCATTCATTTTAAGTCAAAAAACTGTATAAATCCAGAAAAATAATTTTGAGATTAAAAAGAAATGAACATAAGGAATGCTTCTTCCAGTAAACTACCAGCCCAGGTCAGATCTGAATCTTTTTTTTTTTTTTTTAAGATTTATTTATTTGAGAGAGACAGAGAGAGAGAGAGAGAGAGAGTGCATGCGCATGGGGGAGAGGCAGAAGGAGAGAGAATCTCAAGCCAACTCCCCGCTGAGCACAGAGACTGACACGGGGCTCGATCCCAGGACCCTGAGATCATGACCTGAGCTGAAACCAAGAGTGGGCTGCTTAACTGAGCCACCCAGGCGCCTTTGATCTGAATCATTTCTAAGCTGCTGAAGCTAGTTTAATAATGAAGTACTAAAAACAAATACCTCCAGTGAACCGTAACTCACAGAAATGCAGGAACATAAGTACAGCTGTCCCACAGAAAGGATCCACGAAAAACTTTGTCATCTCTATGGAAAGATCCAAGAACTTCTACAATATGACAGAAACCAACAAGATCCCAAGAGTTGGGGAGAAGGAACTGTTCTAGATTTTAAAAGCTTAAGATATAAAACAGCAAAATGCAAAACAGCAAAAGGCAACATGCAGCCTATGACCGAATCCTGTGCTGAACAGACCATCTGTAATTGGGGGGCAATTGGGGCACCTAGGTGGCTCAGTTGGTTGAGCGTCTGGCTCTTGGTTTCAGCTCAGGTCAAGATCTCAGGGTCGTGGGATCAAGCCCCACTTCTGGCTCTGTGTTCAGTGCGGAGTCTGCTTCAGAGTCTCTCTCCCTCTGCCCCTCCCTACATATGCTCACTCTCTAAAATGAATAAATAAAATCTTAAAAAAAAAAAAAGAAATGCCAATGATGTCATGGTCATGAGGTAAAATGTCATTATTTAGAGATAGATACTGAAATGCCTTGATGTCTGCAATGTACTTGAAAATACTTCAACAACAATAAAATAAATGAAGAAATGTGGCGAACGTCAACAAGGGTTAAGTCTAGTGATATGTATATGGATGTTTATTATATGATGCTCTCTACTTAAAAAAAATGTTTCTAATATTTTCATAATAAAAAAAAATCTTCAAATGCCAGAGCAATCAAATCAATCACGGGCTTACAGACCCTGACAACTGATTTTAATTAGCAAATACATTGTTGGAGCAGAGAACATTCTGTGATGGATGACGCTGGCATTACAAAGCAAGAGAGCTACATGCGGTTGCTGAGGAACACAAAGAGCTGGCAAGGTGCAAGGCTACCGACAATTCTACGGCTTTTGCTGAGAACGCATTAATTTCGGAGCGTGGGCTACCCTCTCAGTATCTTCACGACGCAGGCGACAGTGGTCTGCTTTGGGAAACCACGCCAGATGACAGACACTGCTGAACAAGGCTCCCTGGCTGGAGCAGAGAAGGTCAGCCCTTCCGTTCCGGCCCACGTTGCTCCTGCACGACCATAAATAAAGCCAGAGCCATGGGGCTTCATATTTAACCATCCCACAGCTGCCGGAGGAAAATCACGTTACTTGTCTAACACATGTGAGGTCCGGCAGGGAGGGACAGAGCCCCTCCCCACCCTGCTTCCTTTTAGGGGGCCCTTAAAGTGAACACATTGTGTCAGAAACTCCTTGATGGCAGGCTCCGTGCCTTTTCTCTCAGCATCCTTGCCAACACCTGCAGGAAGCAGGCACAAATCCGTTTGTTCGGTGAACGACAGAACTCTGGGTTCTAGACCCACACCCCCCACCCCCGGCCACTTGAGAGACAACTCACATCAAAGGCTTGGGTCTAGTCTAAGAATGGTGCAGCTCTTCTTTTGCTGGACAAATGAGAAAGCGCTCGGTGAGGAACTGTGGTTCGGGGTCTGGGAGTATTCTGCCCCTCCTTCTGCTTCCTGAGCTTACCTGACCGGGTCCACCCAGGAATAAGGCAGGGCATCCCTCGGAACATGAACACTATCCCAGAAGAGGTTTTGTGCAGCCACCATAAAGACCTTTCAATCTTATTAAGACATTAAAAGATTGGATTTGGGGTGCCTGGGTGGCTCAGTCGTTAAGCGTCTGCCTTCGGCTCAGGTCATGAACCCAGGGTCCCGGGATCGAGCCCTGCATCGGGCTCCCTGCTCTGCGGGGAGCCGCTTCTCCCTGTCTCATTTCCCCTGCTTGTGTTCCCTCTCTTGCTGTCTCTCTGTCAAATAAATAAATAAAATCTTTACAAAAAATAAAAATAGAAGATTGGATTTTTAAAGGTCTTATTTTCAATGTTTTTGTGCCCAGTATCAATTAAAAGTCAGATGTGATTTGAAGAAAACTGTAACAGACACCCTTACTAACTGAGTCTCAGCCATGCTGTACTCGGTAAGGAGAGGGATGACTCCCCCTGCGAGCATCTCCACGTTTTGCCAGGCTACCCAACCACAAGTGCTCTCTTTTTCACAGATCCTTCTTGTCCCTGTCAGGGTCCCCTTCTCTCATGGGTCTTATTTGAAGTTGCTTTTAAACTAGGTTGGAAATGTCACTAACCAGTGTCACGCTCATTCAGTCAACAAACACGGTCCAGGTACCACTCACTCCTTCAGTGAACAAATGTTTCCACCGTCCCTGAGCCGGGCTGTGCATGAAGCTGGGTGCGGGGGCGAGTACACCGTGCAACTATCAGATTTGGCTTCGTCTCCCAGGAGGACAAGAGTTGAGTAGAAGAAGACACTGACAACCAAGTCAGTACGTAAGATTCTGCCAGGCCTTGACAGAGCAAGTCACTTCCGGACAGAGCTTGGGGCCTCCGTCCCCTATGTCCCCTACTTCAACCCTGAACATCCTTACCTGGTGAAGGTCTTAGTTCTACTCTTGGAGACTCTTAGCCTAGGATATAAACCTTCAGCTCCAATGGCTTCTTCTTCTTTGTCCCCGGACACCCCTTCACGGCCCCACCCTGCTCCCCTGGACCCTCAGGACAACCACATTATATGTTAACAAGTTTAATGGCTTCTTAACACACATTCTCTCTTTGGCTCCTCACCACCATTCTGTAGGACAGGGATTCTCATCTATGGTGTCCAGATAAGAAAGTGCAGCCTTAGAGAGGTGGGTCAAGCCCATGGTCACACAGCTAATAAATGGTAAACCTGAACTTGGGCCCAGATCCGTCTTCCACATATCCGGTTACCATCTTCTGCCAACAAGGATACTAAGAGTCTTGCCCATAGCAGTTGCTAAGTATTTACGGATTTGATTTTCCATTTGCAAAGAGAAGCTGCATAACTTTACAATGTAAAACAGAATTGTACTGCTCCCTCTTTAAAAGAAAATTACTTATCAAGGCTTCAACTCAAAACAGGCCACGGGGAACTTTACGGCCAAGACAAGGCCCGAGGCACAGCATACCAGATATGGATTGGGGCCCCAACTAGTTCTGCTTCCTCTCCTCAGCTCCATCAAGTAACTGTCCTTCTCGGTTATAAAAGGGAGACTGCAGGGGCGCCTGGGTGGCTCAGTCGGTTAAGCGGCTGCCTTCGGCTCGGGTCATGATGCCAGGGTCCTGGGATTGAGCCCCACATCGGGCTCCCTGCTCGGCGGGGAGCCTGCTTCTCCCTCTCCCTCTGCCTGCCTCTCTGCCTACTTGCTCTCTCTATCTCTCTGCCAAATAAATAAATAAAATCTTTAAAAAAAAAAAAAAAGGGGAGACTGCAAAGAACTGTCACACGAATCCCTACAGGACTGCAAAGTGATGGTGTCATTATCAGTAATACCAGCCTAGAACACCTCAGCAAAGGGGAAAGGACACAGAATTATTCTTGGCTCACAGGGACAAGAAGAGAAGAGCGGCTGGAGTGTCTAGTCTCACTATGCACTCCCAGCCACCCTCGGGTGCTCGGTATACAGACGGAGACGGGTGGGTCTCCTAACCGCCAACGTCACACAGGCCATCTGACACCAACACCGGACACTACAGTGTCCTGAGACCTACCTGCTTAACAGCTAGCTTAGGTAAGCTGCTCGACTCTGACCCTTATCAGCCTTCCAAATGCAGGCCACTGAACCACGCTGAGCCTCGGCCTCCTCATCTATACAATGGGGGCAATAATATACCTCCGTGGATCACTGGAGAAGAGATGGGGCTTTGCTGGGTGTGTGGCAGGAGTTCAACAAAGGGAACGCTGGTATCCCTGGCCTTCATTTGATCAGTTTCTTCAAGTAAAATAAAAGCGAAAGCCTGGAAACCACAACCTTTAGTAAGAGCGCACCATAAGAGGGTGAATTCATTCACTCAGAAATAGGAACCAGTTATGGCTACGTGCCAGGGGCTGTGCCGGGGACACCGAAAGACTTAAGATTTGGTTTCTGTCCCCAGAGAAACTCTGAGTTTGCAGAGGATTTGGTTTTACATTCCAATGGGTGAGAATCAGAAAGAAAATTTCAAAAAATAAGCCTAAAATGCAATGAAGTAGGATAAACCTTATCAGATAAATTTTAAATAGTCATTCTAAAAGATGTGCTATATCAGTAGACGCATGATGGAAACAGGCCCTGCCATTTATATCAACATTAACTGGGGACTAAGGAGGAACCTTACACGGATGGGAAAGATGATTCAACACACAAGTGATACAACTTTAGTAAACAGAGGGAAATGAGTTTCAATCCTTACTACAAACGAGTAGCATGATACACTTTCAATGAGGTAAAGGGGTACGTATGTTTTTCAAAAATCTGGATGCATGGGGCACCTGGGCTGCTCAGTCATTAAGCGTCTGCCTTCAGCTCAGGTCATGATCCCAGGGTCCTGGGATCGAGTCCCATGTCGGGCTCCCTACTCAGTGGGGAGCCTGCTTCTCCCTCTGCTGCTCCCCCTGCTTGCGTGCGCTTTCTATCAAATAAGTAAATAAAATCTATTAAAAA